CCAACCTACATTATCTCACCTTCGGAGAGCTGATGGGATCTTAAAATGGGAATGAGCAGAACCAGGGTTAGGAAAAGAGCCGGCTCTCTTTCTGAGCTTCTCGCACTCTCGCTCTTTTTTCTTTCTCTGCACCCGATCACAAACTCTGCCTTTTCTCAGCTCTTTTGCTTCCCTTTCTCAATCTTTGACCATAAGCAAGGAAATTGAGAGATATTAATAAATCCTAGTTCAGCAACTGAAATATTCACAATTCTTGACTAAACAATTTTGAAGGATCTTGAAGCCTTCGAGAGACTGCAGTAGATAATAACTAGAAAGATTACTAATGGCAGGTGATTTTTTTTGGTTGAAGGGACTTGACTTCAAACAGAGTTGATCAAATTAAATGAAGAGGTTTAATAGAGATGTTCGTAATTCTATAAAACTTGAAAAATCTTTTCAGTTTAAGTGGATGGTAAGACCAAGTGAGATTTCTAGTCAACAATCTGATGGAAAGAAAGTTGAGTGCCATCACTGTTTGTAGCTCCTGCAATAGTCATGTAAAAGTGTTTCCATGATAACTCGGGCTCCTTCTGGTTTGTATGGCTCAGTGGACTGGTCGGTGTGTCTAGATTTAGATCAATTCCAACAGCAAGAGGTTTGATCCCTCCTCCATCTGGAAAGGATTTGGTACTTGTCTCCTTACCCTAAATGTGGTGGAGATCACGGCATTGAGTCAGACCAAACTTCCAGACGAGGATTCAAAACAAATAAGGAACAGGCTTCTAATTGCAAGAGAATTGGTAACTAGTTGTTTTTGATTGAAGGTGACTGGCAGAAGAATGAGAGGTGATGAGAAATTTCTTGACAGTGTTATTTTACTGTGGAATGTGTCCCCTAAATAAGTGATGAAAAAGTCTGGTTGCTGGGAAAAAATTGCAGCATGTGGCTGTGTAATTCCACCAATGTCTTGGGACTTGTAGGCACAGGTGTAGTTGGTAGCTCCCTTGAACTAGCAGTGATAATTTTGGGGAAAAAAAGTATTAACGCTCAGACCAAGATTTGAGAGGTCCGATGTCTACAACCAGAAATCTGAGGTTGTTCACAGGCTAAACTTTTTCAGTTGAGTTTAGAAGTTTGTTCATGTTTTAGGTTTTTCAATACTTCATTTGTTTGATTTCTGCATGGACAATTATTTCCATTGGCATGTCAAGTTACTGTGGATTTTATATCAAGATGGAATATACAATCGTGAGTGCCATACTGAGGAACAAGCATGTTATGTTAAAACAGCCAAGTCTTTTGGGTGATCCGCTTAGTGAGGATTTAATGTGTACTTCATGGTGCAGTCTCATGTTTCCACTTAAGGGAATTTCCTGGGATGACTGATACTTGCTGTGCAATCCAGATTATAAAGAAAAAGAGGGTGAATGTACTTGTCCATCAAGCTGTACACAAATCTTCATGTAAGCCGTTGACCCAAAAGACTCAACTGTTTTGAATTTAGTGTTCTTGTTCTTCAATACAACACTCATGATTGTACCTGATCTTCCTTACCAGAGTCCTGTTGCAGCATAGCTAAGAACAGATGTCATATGGGCAGGAGTAGAATGAAGGATATGAGCTGCTATCTCCAACCCTAAAAGGCAGTCCGTTAAACCAGTGCTGCATAACATTAATTTGCTTTTTGATTGGATGTGATTAAACATTGAAGGTGACTTAGTATATTGGAAATTAAACAAAATATTCTCAATCACAGATGTGAAAATATTGGTGTATTTTGGCATTTGTGTAAAATATACCAAATACCCAGTCCACCCATGCCTTAACCTGTCAAAATTATTAACATAATTGGAAGCTGAGTAGTCCACTGTTGCATTGTGAATTCACAGCTTTATCTGCCTCGACATTCTGTATTATTATAGGAAAAATATATAGAAACAAAGGCCCATGAAAGTGTCATCCCATGGTAAAAGGTCAAATACTTTTCATAGAGAGACTTTAGATATTGGATTAAAATTGATTATTTCCTGAAATAAATCAATATGTGCACTAATTTGAGATGGACCAAGAACACTATCTTTGAACAATGAATTTCAGATTTGATATAATTTGGCTAACTAATGTTATTGCATTTTTTTAGTATTTTTGTTATTTTAATAGTCCATTCATAAACTTCCAAACTGCTTTGCAATACAACCCCATTTTGACACCTAAGTTGCATGATCTGAGACATCATCAAAAACAAAACTACGTAGATGTAGCATGGTGACTTTCCATGCATTATTAGAATTTTTTTTGTATGAAGACTGCTTCAGTTCTAATTCAAACACAAATCAGTGCCTGCTTTTGACTGGCGTAAACTACCTGCTATTGGTGTTCTGATTTTATAATTTGCTCACAAGAGAATAATGCTTTATATAGCCATTTCTATACCTTCAGGCCTGAGGAATTTAGTGACGTTACATTGAGGGGGAAAGGAGTAGATAGGCAAGAAAGGACAAATTATGTGGGGGTAGTGCAGGTTGCTGAAGATCTGACACATATGTAGTGTAATTTGCAAAACCTTGCTTGAAGATGTTATATTCCTGTAGTCTTGGATTTTTGTTCAGCTGTTTTATGTTTTTGTGAAATTTGGGCTCGATAGCCCAAACTTCTAAGTGACCTGGTGTGGCCAGCTTGCCCTGCAATGTCTTTTTAGACTGATGTGAAAGGTTACAGAAATTCACTTTGCGCTGAATATAATTTGCACTTGAATTTCTTCTGTTTGTGGTAATTTGGCGGATTTCAGATGCATAGAGCTGAATAGCCCCGTTTAACACAGCAGAAACTCCAAAGGCATTGAATTGAAGTGCAAACAGAGGAGTGAAATTGAACTAATGAGCTTGTATAGAGAAAAGTATTGGTGCAGGCATATTGCCTGACTGTTGTTTTACTATTTGCAACATGCTGACTTGAACTGAAGTCCTTGAACCTCTCTTGGACCTTTTTAAAATGTCAATGTTACTGTTATCTATGTTTAGCAACCTGATGAACTATTGTAATAATTCTCTGCATTTGGTGGTTTTTGGCTGATGTAATCATATAAACAATTCCAACTTGGCATTAATGCTGATTTCTATTCTTGTGCTGCTTATATGTAATCGTACTCAACTGGTTGCTGTTGAAGGCATGAATGTGCTCTTACTGCCTTTGAAACTCTTCAGAGGCATACCACTGCCTCACTTTAAATTCTTGCCATTGTTTGTGTCAGTACTCCTTTAAATATCCAAGCTGTAAAATGATCCTCTAATGGTTATGTTCAAGATTTTATATGGCAGTATATATACTGAGTGGAAATTTTTTGAACTTAGTGCAATTCATAAAAAATACTGTTGACGCCCTTGCCTTCTCCAAATGCCAACTGCTAATTTTATTTTTTCCTCAAGAATCTATTGCTTCCCTGGATTCAGAACGATCCTGTGGTGCTGATTTTTTTTTTTAAATCACATTGGTTAAAAATGTACATTTTGAAGTTGTAATACATCTTCCAATAAGTCGCAGGGTAGACAATGGCCGAGTGGTATTATTGCTAGACTGTTAATCCAGAGACCCAGGTAATGTTCTGGGGACCTAGGTTTGAATCCCGCCGTGGCAATGGTGGAATTTAAATTCAATAATGATCTGGAATTAAGAGTCTAATGACGACCATGAATCCATTGCTGATTTGTCAGGAAAAACCCATCTGGTTCACTCATGTCCTTTTTAATAGAAGGAAATCTATCACCCTTGCCTGGTCTGGCCTACATGTGACTCCTGACCAACGGCAATGTGGTTGACTCTTAATTGCCCTCTGGGCAATTAGGGATGGGCAATAAATGCTGGTCTAGCCAGTGATGCCCACATCCCATGAAATGAGTTTTTAAAAAAATATATACCTGAGCTGCTTGTTCATGTTTCTCTTTGGCCTGAATGTTGTGCACCTGACAGATTCCTGGTTATTTGGCTAAAATGTCAGGCTACTCATTATGGCTTCCACTGAAGATTCTCCATTTTCATCATTTTAGTTTTTGGCACCATAGCCTTTGTGTCCTGATCAAGTCTTGCTGCAAAATTGTGCATGTTTATGTATGACGTGATTGGACTTGGCTGTTTGTCTCCTGTGATCTGGCATTGTCCTGTCACAGTCCATATAAACAATGGCCATTTGGTCAAGAGATTGAGCAGTATCTTTGCACCTGTATCCTTGTAAATAGTTATTGTTTTGAAGGATGTGAATTTGCAAACAGGAAGCTGTCAGCATTTACAATAGCTTGATGAAGTATTAACTAGATTTGCCATGCATTTTTTTGGTCCTCCTGACCGTGATGGTTATCACAATGCAGGCTTTGTCCAGTTCTTCTTTTTCTCATTGGTAATGACTAGAAAATGCAATTTACAATACTGATGATGCTTAAACTTTAAGGCAGCTTAAATCCATACAAGAAGTTGAGCTATATAAAAAGCTTTGTTTCTGTGCTGAATAACATATCCTGAATAACACATCCTGTTCCTCAACTACTTCTGTTGAGTTTGTCTTCAAGTATAACTTCAGTTTTATATTGTGACAATGTGAAAACCATTAGAAATGGATGAATTTAAATTTTCTAATTTACGCTATTTGTTTGTAGATCTAGAATATGTTTAACTATATCACTAATCTGAACCTAAACCACACTGAAGTCAACTGATTTGTTATAAATGATCAGTGCATTATCGGTAACTGGTCTAACTGAATGTGGTCTGAAGGACTGATCTGTTTTGCATAGCCACTGTCATTTGGAATAAAAGTAATATCGAGTTGGAGTTTATGCAAAGGTGACTGTTGAACATAGAAATGTGGAGCGTTTACAGCACTGAAGGTATCTGTGCTGGCCGTAGTTTACGGAAGCTTTTGCAGTGCTACTTTCTTCGTAAATTTGTTGGAAGTGTGGCCTATTGAGTGATGTCCTTGTATTACCTAACTGAAAATTGTAATTCCAATTTTTTTTTCTCTTCAACAGAAGAAATAAAAGCTGAAATAGAAAAACAAAGGTAAGACATACGGTTTCTATTACTTCTGAGAGTTGATATATTTTAACTTTACTATGACTCAAATGAGTGTTCCATTTATGCTGCAGCATGTAGCAGTCTTCACTCTGAAAAGTACACAAAACATTTGTGAAATAACTCCACAAAGGCCAGCATCCCATCACCAAGTCACCATTTATTTACAAGTGCATAGTACATGACGCTGACCCAGCTAGGTCGGAGTCAGCTGCTAGAGTGACCAGAACCCCTGACACTCCTGTTTATTTGTCAGCTAGGATTCCCTGATTGGTCTGTTAATCTGGTCAAATCGGGGAACTCCTACTCCGTGAGGTCCTCCCAGCTGACCTTGTTCGAATCACTACGATTACCTTTTCATATGATTTCACTAGGGATAGCCAGAATATTTGTAATAAATATTTGAATATTTTACACTTTGTCCAGTTCAATTTACAACAAAGTCTGCAGTAAGGTATCTTTTAAATTTCAACAGATTGATGTAAATAAGGAGAACGTGACAAATCTTCATGTATTGTAAGAAAGTAGAGTTTTGTTTCGGTTTCTAATGCATGTTACTTCCCAGTTAATTGATTTCGGAGCTATTATTTTACTGTTTTGCTGAGTTTTTGGAAAATTGATCTGATTACAAATATTCTTTGAATTTCTTAATGAAGTTATTCAACCATTCCTTTAATTTGCTCCCCATTCTGTAGTGCTGGAGAGAAAAATGTCTCAACACTGCCAAGGGCAAACTTCATAGAGGCTGATAAATACTTTCTTCCATTTGAGTTGGCCTGCCAATCAAAATCCCCTCGAATCATCAGCACATCTTTGGACTGCTTGCAGGTGTGTAAAATTGCATATCTAAACATGCTGCTTAGTGTTGCAATAAAATATTGAACAGCTGATCTACCCTTGGACAATCTGGACATCTTTATTCCTTCACAAAAAAAGCATCCGTTGTACACTGCTTTATAATGTAATATGTGCAATTAATATACTATCCTTTGGAAATTATTTATTAAATCAACCTCCTGCAGATTACATTGGATTAGTTCAGTCTTGTTTGTCTACCTTTGTAAGACCTGGAATTTCATTTGGGGTTCAACCCACTATGCAAACAGTTTGAATAAGTTTCAATAATTTAATGTTAACCTGTCAAAAATGGTATTTAAATTGCGTTCAGCAGTGGGTTACTATCAGGAAGAGGATTTTTTAATAAGTGATATTTCAACCCTTAATGCAATTATATCATAAGTTTATTCCGTCAATGTTGTCTGTGTTATTTTAAAAAATAGTCAGACAGAAATGTAAAAAATACTTCTAAAACCTGCGTTGAGTTCAATTGCATAGACATTGTGTTCAACTGTTTAGAAGAATAAGTAGTGTTTCGGTACATAAGTGTTCAGTATTTTTACTGAAAATTTGTAAAAGTTGGTTTTAAAAGTCTGAAATACAAATCTGTATGTCGTCTTAATGGATATGAGTTTTTAATGTTTAATAACTTTTAAAATAAAGTAAAATCAATTTATAGCACTTAAGTAGAAAGAAGTTTTAACTAATTCAATATATTACTATCACTGTACCAGAGTTGTGATAATTTATTCGAAATGGAGTACTTTCATGGAAAATGTAATCTGCTGTAAATGTTGCCTATGTTGACTGTATGTGTGAAATCTAAGCTAACTAATTTCTTTGAGAAATTGAATACAATTTCTCAATATTTTGTTTTCTAATACAGTACCAAGTCAGCTTCTCAGTGTAATGCTAGCAAGATGATGTTATCTGCATCAAATGATTTGTGTAAGAAAGCTGTATTTTCAACAACTTGGTCTGTAAACATAACCATAAAGTAATTTTCGATAGTTTTGGAACTTCTTTGTGATCTTGTCCAGCCCTACAACCGTCTCAATGTTCCCTTCCTTTGTTTGGTCTCTTTCTTTCACTTTGTCCCGCCATTTGATCTGTGCCTCTTCAGCTGCTCATGTTCTGGAATTTCTTTTCTAATCCCTGTGAAGTCTGCCTTGCTCTCTTTCAAGAACTTCATTAGATCTCAGCAATCAGATCAAGCTTTTGTTCATCTCCAAATACCTCCGTTTTGTGCTTAAAACTTATTTAATTGATTACTTCTGCATCAAGTGCCTTGAGATGTTGTTCTGTTTTTACATCTCCCCGATTGTCTCATGTCATCATGCTTTCTTTCACTTATTGTAGCACTAACTTACTCATTTGTATGATGTGAGGGCAACCTGCAACACACCAGGTGGTCTTGCCAGAGGTCAAGCACAAGTACTGGCAGATCTGCAAGAGAGGGAGTAGAACCCATAAATGGATTAGCATATGAAAATGATATCAGTCATCGAGCCATACAATCTTTATGTTTGAAATCAGCAAATATGATCTGTTATGTCAGATTTGATATGTAATGGTTTGGGTGTAAATACTGTACTGTTACTGAGATATTTCTGGGAGGAACTTGGAACAAAATGCCTGAAAGGATTCTAGAGGCAGAAACTCTCTCCATGTTTAGAAAGTATTTTGATGTCTACTTGGAAAACCATCACCCTCAGTGCTAGGGGTCTAGTGCACCAAAGTGGTATTAGGCTGGGAAGCCCTTTGTATCCTGATGTGGAAATGATGGACCAAATGGTCATCCTCATTTACTGTGAAGTCTGTTATGTTGTCTCTGTTATATACCTAGATTGCTTGTGGAATTACATATTTTTATTGGTAACTTCTCTTTGTTACCTGGACCATGCCCTTTCTTCCTCCATATCCGTATCCCTAGTGCATTACGCAGTAGTTAGTAATTGGTTACTCATGTTCTAATTTGATATGACTTTTGAAAAGTTGTTTTTCTCTCCGCTGTTTTAGGATCCAGTTCTCAATATTTTGTCGGTATATGCGTCACTGACAACACTGTTTAACAATCTAAAGAAACTTTGTATCTCTGATCCAAACAGAAAGATGCACCAGCAGTTCTGCTGAAAATAGTAGGGGAAAGTTGAAGCTCGAGTACTTTTCAGATCTGTAAGAGAGGGAGCAGAACCCAAAAATGACTGAGGCTGATCATTAAATCAGGAACTCAGTGATAGTAACCTAAATGGATCCGTACGTGAAAATGACATCGGTTTTGGATGCAATTTTATTTGCCACCATGTTGAGAAATGGTGAAACGTGATCCGCCTTCAATGTTCATTAACATGTGCACTTGTGTCTTTGATAGAAACTGATAGCATATGGACATATCACGGGTAATGCCCCAGACAGTTCAACTGGAAAGAGATTGATCGATAGAATTATTGAAACCATTTGTGGATGTTTTCAAGGAACTCAAACAGATGAAGGTGTTCAGCTTCAGATAATTAAGGTGTGCCTGATATTTCAACCAGTTAACTCAACTCGTTGTTGACTGTCAACTCAGAATTGCACTATGACGTCAATACCTAGTAATTTTTAAAAAATGCCTACCTGAAGTATTCATAACAAGGGCCACAGTCCCTATGGTAAATTTAAAATGCTGTTTGTAAGAGAATGGAAATGTTTAAATTGGGGCAGAGACCCTTCAGCTCTTTTGATGAGTGATGCAACCCATCTGAGCATTTCTCTACTTCAATTGTTTTGCATCATTAGATAACTGAGCATATAACGACGCAAAGTTTCAATTAATTGTTTGTGATGAGTACTAGTATATTTCTAAACTGTACAACTTGAAATAGAGAACAGATATTTATTTATTAAGCAATGATGCAATGTTTTGTATAGATAAACCCTCCATGAAAAATGGGTGTGAATGTGTACATTGGTCTGAAAATGACAAGGCTTCAAAGGAAAATGAAACTAAATTAATAGGATTAAATGAGTGCAGTTTCCATGAAACAGACTTTTTTCTTCACTGCTTGTTTATCTATTGCTCATCGTTTAGGCACTACTTACTGCTGTGACTTCAACTCATATTGAAATCCATGAAGGAACAATCTTGCAGACTGTCCGGACCTGCTATAATATCTACCTAGCTAGTAAAAATCTCATTAATCAGACTACAGCAAAAGCTACTTTGACACAAATGCTCAATGTTATATTCACAAAGATGGAAAACCAAATGGTATGTATTTAAGTTAAACATCATAAGTTTTGGATCTGAAGTTTTGTTTAAACTTAGCCATTCTATTGCTGAAGGCAGCATACAATAGATATTTGGAGCAGAATGTCCTGAAGGTTTTATAGCAACAAAACATTGCAGAATCTGCTTTAAGTTGAGCATGACCTATTTCCAGCATCATTCTTGAGAGGATCAGGCTTAGGGATGATTTACCCCTTTTTCCCAGTGTTTCCCCAATTGACTTCCATTTTACCAATTGGAGAGATGGTGTAAATTAGAGAAGAAAACAAATTGTTTAATGCAGTTCACCACTTGAGATGCAATGCAGCATCCTTCAAACTTTCAGGGAATTGCTTTCTCAAGAGACGAAAGCTGCTTTATTATCATGTCAAACACTTTTTTCATTTTTATCTTAACCCAAGTTGGGTTTTGTGCATTATAAAGTTTTTTTTTTTTTTTTTTTTTTTAAATTGGGATCAACTCTTCTTGATTTTTAAGGAGTACTGTTGCAGCAATTGTTTGTAATAATCTTCCAGTTATTTCACAATAAATGTTTTCCACATGAGCAACCTACAGTCAAACAACCTGAACTGTTGGCTTTATTTCTACAGTCGTGGTTTATTACTCAGTCAGCATTTAGTCGTGTACTTGAGCTGTAACCTTCTCAGTATGGAATATTTTCACTTGTTAGTATAACTTGTTTTATGAACATTTAACTAACCATGTACAGGAGTCATATAAGACTATTAGTAATGTGGAAGTGCTGAGATTTGATGCTGAACCTGATATAGTTACAGTAGTGTTCAAATCAGCTTTGAAGGGTCAACTAGCTCTGAACAGTTCATTTAAACGTGGAATTGAACAAGTGTGGTGTGTCCATAAACCACACTCTTTCTCAACACAATCAATTGTTAATGGCTATTGAAAGTATTCAGCAGGTTTGTCTCTTGGGCTAGTGAATTCAAGGTGGAACCATGCAATACAAACACTGCACTGTTTGCAGTACTAAAACTGCAGTTTCTTCTCCCAAGCAAGACTTGCAATCCACAGTCAGCTTCAAATGCATAATTCTGTTTAAAATGTTTATCAAGATTATTGAAGTTGCAATATTCAGGGATTAGAACCAAGTGACGATTGTTTGAAGTCATAGCTATAACTTGAGGGTTTTATTTTAGACCTCTGTAACTTTGAATAAAATGTAGGTCATATCAACTTGAAATAACTGAAGGCTTGAAAGCACTGTTAGAAATTTGTTTGTACCTTGGGCTTCTAAGTAAAATTCTGCATTATCATAACAGCAGTATATCTAGAGTTGGGATTATAGGGGCATTTTCAGGATGGGAATTTGTAACTAGTGGTTTGTCACGGAGACTGGTGCTGGGGCCACAGTTCATTGGTACATTAATGACGGAGGGCAGTGAATGTGCAACAGTCAACCTTTGTGGATGACGTGCAAATCGATGGGGAGGCAGGTAGTGAGCATGACAGTCTGCAGAGGGACGTAGATGGATTATGTGAGTGCGCAGATACTTGACAGATGGAATATAATGTGGGAAAATGTTAGGTTATGCAGAACGTATAGAGGAGCTGAATATCACTTAAATGGAGAAAGCTGCAGGGCAAAGGGATTTTCGAGTCCTTGTGCAAACTAGCATCTGAATTCAGTAAGTAATAGGGAAGGCAAGTAGGAATGTTGGCCTTTATTTTAAAGGAAATTGAGTTTAAAAGTAGGGAGGTTTTGGTGACACTAAACAAAGCACTAGTTGCACCACAGCTAGAATACTGTCAACAGTTTTAGGCCCCTTTTTGGGGGAGAGGTATACTGGCATTGAAGGTAGTCCAGAAAAGATTCTCTAAGTTGATACTAGGTATGGAGGGACTGTTTTATGAGGAGAGGTTCAACAGATTAGGCCTTCAGTTTTTTGGAATATAGCAGAAGGAGAGGTGACTTTATCAATCTATAAGCTGCTTAGGGGACTTGACAAGATAGATGGGGAAAGGTTGTTTCCCCTTGTGCGAGTATCTAGGACCAGAGAAGATCATCTCAAAATGAGGGGTTGTACGTTTAAGCCGAGGCTGAGGAGGAATTTCTTCTCTTGATGGTAGTATACTTGTGAAATTCTTCACCACTGATCTCCGAGGCTGTCTCATTGGGTAGATTCGAGGCTACGTTGTTAAGGTTTTTTTTATCAGTAAGGGAATCAAGGATTATGAGGAAATGACAGAAAAGTGAAGTTGAGAATTATCAAATCAGCCATGATCTGATTGAATGGCGGAACAAACTTGATGGGCTGAATGGCCTGCTTCTGTTCCTACATCTTTTGCATGGTAATAACTTTGTGCATCCTCTCTCATGTATAGAATTGACTTCTAACAGAAAACACAGGTGTTGCTGTTAATCATGCTTTTTGGTATGCACTCAAACAGTACGTTAAAGTCTAAATATTTTTGGGCCCTCTGAACAAAAATGATTATCATCACGTTGCAGCAAGTTACTAAATGCAATACTACTCAGAACCAGAACCAGCTATTGATATAATTCCTCCATCTTGGTCCCCATTCCCGCAGACAGATTAGTTATTGTTCAAAAGACAAAAATTAGACAATTTTTTTCACATTGGAAATTGACTGTTTCTTTGCAGGTACATGAAGCTAAAGACCAAGAGAAAGCTAGGCAACAGCAGCAACATCATCTCCAGCAGTCTCCTGGACCTCACAGTTTAGTTGGATCTCCACAACTTGATAGCATCGAACAACGTTCTACCAGACTGGTTTCAGCAGAGACGGAAGCAGATCAGATAAATACCATGCAACAAAAATCTCAAGATGGTGTTGCAGAGATGGAAAATGGGACAACAGTAGACAATGTAGAAGGTGACCGTGTGGAATGTGATCAGTCTTCACATATTACAGGTGCTCATCTTTACTTGAGAGTTAACTGAAACATATTATTTTTAATCCTGCCATGACGTGTAAGACTTGCAAAGCAATAGAATTCCAGTTCAGAATATCACTGATATGAATCTATTCAACTAAACACAGCTTAAATTTGTGATGTATCATTTAAAATGTGGTGTTAATAATTCTCAAGAAAGGAACAATCATGTAAGCAAGCAATCAAGTTGACTTCAGGAGGAGGAATTGCCATTTAAATGTAGCAGTGTTACTTCAAGTCTATAGCAAGCCACTTAAAGTGGCATTGTGCTCCAGGAGTAATAGAACTCTGAGCTGATTGTAGTCTCCACTACAGTCCTCAGCTCTGTCTTAAATGTGCAACTGCTTATTCTGAGCTTATGCCCTCTGGTCCTAGACTCTCCCGTGTGGGGAAACAACCTTTCTGCATCCACCTTTTCAAGTCCCCACTAATCCCCCACTCCAGTGATCTTTTAAACAGCAAAACTCTTTTTCTTCCAGTTCCTGATACTGATGAAGTTTTGGGTTTGATTTGTAAACTTTGAAAGCTTTCTCAGTCAATGATTGGGAGTTGCTGGTAGCTCAATAGACCGGCCTGTGGATCAGTTTGTTTTTCAGTTTGAAGCGTTTTTGCGTATGAGTTCAATTCCGTTGCTGACTTCAGATTGGTCAGCTTCAAATAAGCATTTTTCTGTTCAGCTATATTTGAGTGTTTTGGTTCATAATTCTTCTTGTGTATTGTCCCATGGGCTGGTAGACCACAGGTCCATCTTAGCTATCCATTATAGCAAATCTTTATCATAGACTTACAGAAGAACCATTTTACTAAAGGAATGAAAGGTAATTGCAGACCTCCCCTCATCACCCTGGAGCAGCATTAACAGCAATTTAGAAATAAGGTAGTTGTTAAGCACAACAGAAGTAAAACAAAAGATCCTGGTGCTATCACAATTGTTCAATTCTGCGAAATGTTTCAAAGTGATTAATGGATTCTGCTATTTCAAATGTATGTGTAATTGCCAAAGTCCAAGCTTAATGTGCTTTCAAATAATAAAATGATACTTCAGTGTACTTAAGTTTTTATCTGCTTTCTGTCACGGTCGATGATGTGAGTTACTATTTCAGATTCTAACCGCTATGCTTTAAATTAAGGGAATGCAGATGCAAGTTCAGAGGAAGATGTGAAAGCAGAAGATATTGTGGGACAAATATTGGAGGAAGTAGTGGCCGTTGTGACTGGAGGTAGCTAGTGCGATCTTGATAATATAGTTTTCCTTTGGTTTCAGTTAAAATAGTCACTGAATGACTGACTCACAACATAGTCTTACATGATGCCACAGTACTGTTTTATTACCCACTGCATCAATTTTTATTTCAAAGAACTCTCATTTGAAGGTGCCATTCTAGACTGGGTATATCTTGTGTGAGTTGTTGCCAGACCACTTGAATGAGTTTAGAATAGCGCATTTGATTGGTTTGAGCAAATGTCATTTAACGTTAATGTCTCCTTTGTTCATAGCTTGGCCTTACCCTCAAACTAATTGTTTTTGACAAAAATGTATATTTTAGTTATTTTAATCTAACTGTTCTGATGCTTTGACACACCTGTGTGGCAGGTGAGATTTGATCCCAGAACTTCTGGCTCTGAGGTAGAGGCACTGTCAACTGCATCTACAATGTACACTTTATCTTTTGTTTAATTAGGTTTGTTATTGTAACTAACTGTGTTTATCATCTGTTATTCCAAAGACACCTGCACAGATTGAACATATTCAAATCAGCATTGTTCTGGTGTGTTGTAATATTCTGTGCAAGTTTCTGTGGTGGCGCAATACATTATAGCCTACCAATCCATTGCACAGTTTTATTTTACATATCCTGATAGCTACAGTAATTTCTGAAAATATTTTTGAAAGCAATTAATTTGTATACATAATATAAGCTTACTTTTAAATAGGCATCTTGATTCTTAAAACAATCTAACAAATCTGTAGCAATTGATGAAACTTGTTTAAAGTTGATTCAACATAATTGTATTAATTATCTTAAGCTTTGAAGAAATGCCTAAAGACTTGTGCTTTGACACACATTGCAATGCAATTTAATCATTTGAATGAGAGCTTTTATAAGATACTGAAATGCATTTATACAATTTTCTCTTAACTGAAGTAAACTATGTAGAAATTATTTTTTTGTAACTTTTTTTTGCTTAAGAGGCAGAAGCAAAAGACCGTGAAAAAAAATCTATGGAAGCAGCTTTAGAAAATCCGGCTCCTGTTAACTGCACTGAAAGCATTCAAACCAATGGTATCCCTGACGAATCATTACCACAGCCTGATGGTACCACATTAATAGATAGGCAATCTGCACCCTATAATGTTCAGGTAAGGAATCTAATTATATTTTTGCTGTGATCCAGAATCTATCTTTTTCAGTGTTTATTCTGTGTTCCCCAGCTGGAGCTGCAGTTCCAACTGGTATAATTGTCAGAAACCATGTGTGCACCTATTTATTTGAGATGTATTCATGGATGCTGAAGTTTCATTATCGTAGGTTGGCTTGAATCAAGCATGCAGATGTTATGTGGGTTATTTAGGAAAAAGAAGGGGGCAAGTGGTTTTCTTTTTTAGTTCAGTACATTGTGCGCACCTGAGAGAATGCCAGAATTCTGTTCTTACCTGGTCTGTTGGATCCTGCTCTACTTGCTACTGAACAATTCTTAAAGCCTTCTGGAAATTTCAAGTTTTAATGCACCGCTCAGAAGTAAAAGCTTCCTTGTTCATATTTTCAATTTGTTTGGGACGCTCAAGTGAGTTTTTCATGGAAGATATTTGTCATTCAGCAAAGCATTATAGACAAATGTGATCACCGCATCTAGTTTAGAAAATCGATCTAAAATTTTACGAGTCCAGTCTGCTTTCAGAGCTCTTCCAGATCTGGTCTGCTGTTCTTACAGGCTTCCCATATCTCACCATGCACTTTACATTCTTGCAGAAGTTAACAGATTTCTTGGCAAGCTGTGTTTGTTGTGATGTTGTCTCTTATAAAATAACTGCATGATTGTAGTTGATAGCTCATCTTTTAACTGTCTTAACTTTACTTTAGATTCCAAAGCATCCCGACGTATTCTGCGTGACATCCATTTTCTTTGATAATGATCATTCCCATCCATATTTCAAACCACCAATTGTTTTTTTCGACTGGCATCAGCTCCATGTTTTTATTTTAACATGCTTCGACTCATGTACCTCTTACCATGATGGAATGGCTGAGTTACCACATCTTAGTACTCATGCAGATCTTGGTTTTTTTTTTTAAAAACTTGTTTTTTTTCAAATGAAACTAGCAGCTATCATCCTTTTACTTCAGCTGCAGCTTTTTTGTTTAAGAACATTCTTCGCAGTCCTCTCCTGGTCTCTGTCTCTTGTTTTGAGTGTGGATGCTGTCCGTTGCATCTGAGACATTATCAGCATTGGAAATGAGAAGCCTAAAGAGACACGGCCTAAAATTTGATTTCAGTGCGTGGCTGTAGCTCATCAATAGCAGTGCTGTATTCCATCGCAGCCTGTCTCATAATGTAGCACGTTATCACTCCTTCAGGCTGGAGAATGACTCCACAGAGGAGTACCACCATGCAGGAGGATACAATACTGCATAATCTGCATGTGAAACACCTTTAAACAGCTGGATATAAATGGAGTTATGCAATCCAATGACTAATAGATTCAAGCAAAGTTCTTTAACCAGGTAGTATCCCATCAAAAATATTGGATCATCAGGAGCAGGCTCCGTGCACATATAATCTCAAACTTGGCAATATCTGAGTGCAAAAGACAATCTAATCGTTTTCACCCGGAATTGCCAAGTGAACACTCATTTGGTTTCATCTTGTGGTCTTGCCACTAACAGCCTTGCCAGGCCCCAAACAATTTGGTTCATCCCTGTGGCATTACGTGGGTGAGAACGTTGAGACAGAAAAGCATATGAGCCTAATAAAATTTAGGGTTTTGTACTGAAGACCTGTGAACTGTAACTATCAGTGGCACCAAATAGAGTCCACTGTATCTATGATGTTGTTAGCTATGTATTGACTTATAAAGTTGTCTGTATGTCCACATATAATTGCAAATTGCTGCACTGTCATCTGTGAAATGATGGAAGGAATAATTACTTGTATAATCAGGTTGGTGGCCTAATCTAGTCATTAGCTCCCAAGAAAACACTCGAGTATTGAACTTGTCTTAGCCCCTACATCAACAGCTAGATAGAGGCTGACTGCCAGAATAGAAATTAAGTAGTTGTCATAGACAGTCTTCACCAAGCATGGTTCCAAAGACTACAAGCAAAACTGAGTCAATATGAAAGCCTTTGAGGGACTGGAACCATATCTGATGGATGGGAAGAACATGGCTGTGATTATCTGACAGCCATCATCTCAGTCCCAGGACATCAGTGCCAAACTTCTTGATGGCGTTAACCTTTTGTTGTAACCATCTTCATTGGTAACCTAACCTCTGTCTTGAGGTCAGAAGTGCAGCTGTTTGAATATTCTGCAGTACTTAACTCCATTCTTAGCTTTTGTGATAATTGAGTAGATGATGTTATCCCATAGCTGTGCCTGTGGTGCATACTGTGTCCAGGACACATTCCAGCAACTTAGCAAGTTTCCCAGGAAAACACCTTACAGACCCAATGATGAGCACCCATTCATTGGAATGCTATTGTTTGCAACTTCATTATGCACGTATGACACACTCCTAGGTAAATATCTTTATATGCCCTGCCTAAGGTTATCGCTACAAGGATTGTATAGGTTCAAAGAGAAAACATGTCAGTAATTAAATGAGCAAAAACAAAAGTACTTGATGGCCAACTTCCAAGATTATACTTGAAAAAAGCAACTTATAGCTAGCACTTGTGTGAAGCTTTTAATGTAATACAATATCATTATACTTCATGTTCAAACCTGACCATAAAAGAAATTGAAAGGTGGAAGAAGTCATTGTCTAAAAATCTATTTTAAGGAACCACTTCAATCTAAGTGTACAGTGAAGCAATGTCGGAAAATCTTGAAACAGTTGATGATAACCAAAAGTTCAGGCATAGAAGTTGATTGTAGAGATAACCAAAATATAAACAATGTGAACACAGCATTGGGTTTTATAGAGGTAACATTTCAGAAGAAGAAAACAGCCATGCTAATTGACTGCACTTGGGTTTGAAACTCGGCTCAGGATCAAAAAATTCATTAGAACTGTGTTGAGTTATACAGGCTTTCAGAGGAATGGGTTCAGGCTTCTGTGATTTTGTGGAAGTGAAACAGAATGCATTTAGTTTGGTAATATTATGTCAGCAGTGCTCATGACAGTATAATATCAAGGTAGTGAAGGAATTGGTGATGCAGATTTGAGGTCAGTTATTGTTAGCATATGTATGAAAATTAATCCTGTGCTTCTAAATTTCATTTCCAAAGAATAATGTATAAACATGGAATAGAAGAAGGCACGAATAAAATTTTGGTTTGTATTCAAGGTGATTGAACATAAGCCGCTATTGTTACAACGGGTCTGCTGGCCACATTGAGATGTGTGCAAATGTAACTGAAAGAGAATTCAACAGAAGCCATCCATGGAGGAAAGACACTGGAGGAAAATGGTCAATCATAGATCTCATAGGAGCCACTCCCACCTGCTTCCCTTCCAAGCCGCGCACATTCTTACTTAGAAATATATTGCCATTACTTCACTGTGGCTATAGCAAAAATATTGCATCTCACTTCCTTGCAGCAATGTGAGTGTACCTAGATCCCATGAACTGCAGTAATTCAAAAGGTGGTTCAGCAGCACGTTCTCAAGGACAGTTAGGGATGGGCATTAAATGCTGGCCTCGCCAGCTACATGCATATCCTGTCCCCAAGAAAAAATTGAAAGCTACAGAGGTAGAGGAAGTATTATGCAACAAACTGTCATTTAACATATACCCCCTTACTCTACTGTTATGCTTTTCTTCTAACAGATTTAGCATTCCATCTTTTCTACCCTTCTCTCCTGAAAGCATTTGCAGTTTCCTCAGTTGCCATCTATAAATGTTAATCAACTTCTGATACAAAAGAGTAATGACAATTTGTGCTTTAGGTGACAGCTTTGGCAGGTTGTTCAAGAATATTGGCAACTGTGGGCAAGACTTTTATTGTTTGGAAGTCTTCATGTACATTTCAAGAAGGGGTAATTGAATAATAATTAAAAGCCCACATCCTGGTAAATTTACTCTTTGATATGCCATAACTGTGGAGTTCTGTGTGCTGTAGCACATTTGGACAATGGGCACAACTCAGATCAGCAAATGATACATAAAATTAGATGTTATGTATAAACACAAAACCAGACAATTAAGTCTAACCAGTCTCTGTTGGTGGCTATGCTTCACTTAAATCTTTGTTATCCTTCTTTATCTAACACACTCAACTTCGATTCCCTATTATGTGCTTACCTAGGATTTTCTTGAATAGATCTTTCCTATTTGCCTCAGCCACATCCTTTTGACAGCAGCAGAGTCCACATTTTCACCACGTATGGTAACGATTTTTTTTTCTGAATTCCCCTTTCCTTTCTTGGTGATTTTAAAGCGGTGACACCTAAGCTTTTGCTCTTTTCTAAGGGTGGAAATGATCTTGCTTTGTCAGCTCAATCAAAACTATTCCTGACTTTAAGGACCTCTATTCTGCTACACCCTTCTCCTGTTCAGAGAATAATGCAGCCTATTCCTTAACAGAAATGTGTGACCTCACATTTTCTTATCATTCTTACAAATCTTTCTTACTCTCTTCACTGTCTTTTTACATCCTTTCTGTAAGAAGGCGTTCAGTACTTAATGTGGTCCAACACACTCACGTTTAGCATCACAAATCTGAGTGGTTCATTTTGTTTCTTTCTAAATTATCATCTTAACCTGCAGAGCTGCTTTTAGTGATCTATGTTTATGTACTCCAAGAAACCTCTGCGCTTTATCCGTAGATAATTGATTGTTTAATGCCTATTCACTGCACTTCCAGATGAAAAGTTTCATTAATATGGCAGCTGTCTTGAAGATTTTAGCTTAAATTTGATCAATTGAGAGTTCAGTCTATCTTTTAAAAACCGAAAGAACTGTGGATGCTGTAAATCAGGAACAAAAACCGAAGTTACTGGAAAAGCTCATCAGGTCTGGCAGCATCTGTGAAGAATAAATCAGTTAACATTTGGGTCCAGTGACCCACCCTTAGGATTTTTTTTTCTTCACGGATGCTGCCAGACCTGCTGAACTCTTCCACCAACTTCTGTTTTTGTTCAGTCTATCTTTTTGTTCATTTCAACTAAAGATATGGCTATAGCTTATCCATTTCAGAAACTGTTCTGTTGTTCATAATGTTGTTCTGAATGGTTCCCCCTTCTGATGCCCTATGTTTCACATTTTTAGTTGCATTTATAAAGGCAAAACAAGACAGCTCGCAACAGTTCTACCGCATTGCACCATCGAGGGTGATCTGTCAAACCACCATTCAAAGCAATCAGCAATTTCCTTTCTTTATGCACTTCTTTTGTATGTCATTTTAGATTGTTTAGAAATGTTGTATCTACTATTAATCTAATAAAACCTAGGCATGAGTTTTCATCGTGCTGTCTAGCCAGTTCATATTGCCTTTGTTTGTTTTAGGCCTATTTTTAATACCTAAATTAATAAAATACAACTTTTGGCCAATAAAAAGCTTAAGTGCTTGCCTGTTTAGAAGGTCATAAGTGCTTAAGCTTGGAATTTTAAATCAAACAGCTACAATGAGTTACAGCTCCAACTTAATATCATCCTTGTTTTTACACTAGGAGTCCGAAGCTGTGGTACCACTTCCAGTCAGTACTAAATTCTCACATATATTACAGAAAGATGCATTTTTGGTATTCAGATCCCTCTGCAAGCTTTCAATGAAGCCTTTAAGTGATGGACCTCCAGATCCAAAGTAAGTGAATGCCAAGTCATGAAAAAAATTTTGGCCTTAAACCTAGATGTACAGTTTTTTGGGGTATTGTTCAAAAAGCAGAAGTCACAACAGTAACCTGGCAATTCAGAAATTTGGTGCAAAACTCATGATGCTTGCCATGATCAGTTTGCAGAACATGGAATATTTTTTGGAGACATGGAACTCTGTCTTTAATTCTCATTCTTTACAGATTGCTGGTCTATTTGTGCTATTCTGCTGTTAACAATGTCTAAGCAGGAAGAATTGCAACCTCATCAGGAGCTTCCCCATGGAAATTATTTTTACCCGATGTAGTTGCTGGATTTATGACACGAATGCAAATTAATCTTGCATCTAGAGCTAATAATTCACATTGTTTGATCCCTGTTAATGATTTGAAAAATAGTACTGTTATGATACTTAACTGTGTTTGAAGCTTTGGATGTTTATTCCATCAGATACTCATTTGTTCCTCTTTTAAAGCATAACTGAAAGTTGGATTTTTGTACTATTCTTGCCATACCCATTCCTATTCATGCCAGGTACAATAATTTTGATGATTCAAAGCTGTACACATTCAAATGCAAATTAAATATTTTGTGTAAAATTGTTTTGGGAAGCAGTGTGTGACCAAGATAATTTGTTCTGAAGAATCATACAATTGCCAAACATAACTGGGCTCCAATGTTCTCTGCTTTTACTTAATTTTCTTTTTTATTCAGTTTTTGCCTCTTTTTCCCTCTGTCCAATCTGCTCTTTGATTATTTCTGTATTTAATTTGAATTTAATTCGCCCAAATTCATTCTCTGACATTTGTTCCATTTCTTCATCTTTTACCTAATAGATTAAGGTGACAAATATCATGCCTAACAATGTGTGATCCTAGATACAATGTTGACATCATTGTACCATTGCCAATTCTTCCATCCAGCAGATTGGCATGCAAATATAGGACAATGTCCGAGATGTGTGATTCTAGCAAATTCTGACTCTATTCCTGTCACGAGTCATCTGTTGAACATTGTGAATCGTGGATACAATTTCCAAAACTGAATCATCATAAATTTGGTTTTGGTTTGGTGATGGTGTCAGTGCTGTTAATGATGTGTGGGAACTGACTTACTGGCCTGTAATGGAAATTTTACTTGCATAATTTTGGTCATGTATGAGTGAAGTCACAAAAATTATGCAACTGCCAAACTTAAAATTCCCTTTAATGCACAGATTAGTTATGCATCATTTAGAATGTATGAAGGTGGATAAATCTCCTGCCCTAAGCAAATATATCCAAGAGGCAAGAGGAGAAATTTTGGGGTCCTGGCTGATATATTTACAATATCGTTAGCTAAGGGTGATGTCCTGAAAGACTGGAGGGTAGTGAATGTTGTGCCCTTATTCAAGAAGAGCTGGAAAGAAAAACCTGGGAGTTATAAACCTGTAAGCTTAACATCTATGGTAGATAAGTTACTTGAGAAGATTGAGGCATAAAATGTCCATACAGTTAGAAAGACAGGGTTTGATCAAGAGTAGCCAGCATGGCTTTGTGTGTTGGAGATCATGCCCCTCAAATTTGTTAGACTTCTTTGAAGTGACCAGGAAGGTTGATGGGGTAGGGCAGTAGATGTAATCTACACGATTTCAGTGAGGCCTTTAAGGTTCCACATGGTTAGCTGCTCTGGAAGTTGAGATCGCATGGAATCCAGGGAGAGCTGGCAAATTGGATGCACAATTGGCTTGATGGTAGGAAGCAGAGAGGAATATTGGAAGAATGCTTGTCTGACTAGAGGCCTGTGACTAGTAGTGTGCCTTGGGTTGGTGCTGGGTCTATTGCTGTTTGTTATCTATATCAATGATTTGGATGAGAATGTACAAGGCATGATTAGAAAGTTTGCGGATGACACTAAAATAGGCGGTATTGTGGACAGTGAGGAAGGTTATCAGAAATTGCAGCAGGATCTTGATCAGCTGGGGCAGTAGACAGAAATGGCAAATGGAGATTAATGTAGAGAAGTGAGATATTGCATTTTGGAAAGTTAAAATCCGGGTAGGAGTTTCATGGTGAATGGTAAGGCCTGAAGGAGTGTAGTGGAACAGAGGGACATTGGAGTTCAGGTGCATGGTTTTCTGAAAGTGGAGTCACTGGTAGACAGGGCAGTGAAGAAGGATTTTGGCACAGTGGCCTTCATCAGTGAGGGTATTAAGTACAGAAGTTGGGAAGTTATGTTGCAGTTGTACAGGATGTTGGTGAGGCCACAGTTGGCGTATTATGTTCAGTTTTGGTCACCTTGCTATAGGAAGGATGTTATTAAACTGGAAAGAGTGCCGAAGAAATTTACAAGGATGTTGCCAGGACACAAGGGACTGAGTTATTGGGAGAGGTTGAACAAGCTAGGACACTTTTTTTTTTTTTTTTTTTTTTTCCCTTTAGAATATAGGAGACTGAGGGGGGATCTTAGCGTATAAGATCATGAGAGGCATGGATAAGGTGAACACATTGTCTTTTTCCCAGGGTTGGAGAATCGGGGACTAGAGGGCATCAATTTAAGGTAAGAGGTGAAAGAATACGTGGGAACTTGAGGGGCAACCTTTTTACGCCGAGGATGGTACATGTATGGAATGCGCTGCCAGAGGAAGTGTTTGAGGTGGTTGCATTAACAACATTTAAAAGGCATTTGGACGAATACATGGCTAAGAAGGGTTTAGAAAGATATGGGCCAATTGCAGGGAACTGGGTTAGCGTGGATGGACGCTTTGATTGGCATGAACCAGTTTGGGCTGAAGGTCCTATCTCTGTGCTGTAGGATTCAAGACCCTATGACTCGATTAATCCTCTGAGTATGTTATTCAGCAGACCTGATGAAAAAAGTAGTTGAGGTAATAGAGGCATGTTGAAAAATACTTTGATATTCAAAACTAAGCAGGAAATGATTCTGCATGTGTTGAGAATTTTTGAAAGTCATGCAAAACGGAATAGAAGAAACATCAAATCCAGTTTTGGTCCCATTCTGTACTTTCCAGCACTGGCTACTGAAAATAGGGAATTTTTTTGAAGAATTGTTCAATCCAAGTATTTCAGATTTGAATATTATGTTGAATTCTCAATGGCATCACTTTGGAGAGCAGCTGGTTCTGACACCCAAAATGGAATAGAGCATAATCTCATTTATTATCTAATAGTATGCATAGCTTTTTTTTAATGAAAACAAATTACTTCAAACTTCTTTTTTGCCAAGGTCCCATGAGCTGAGGTCGAAGATAATTTCACTGCAGCTTCTGTTGTCAGTTCTTCAAAATGCTGGTCCAGTCTTCAAAACAAATGAAATGTTCATCAATGCAATTAAACAATACCTTTGTGTGGCATTATCCAAAAATGGTGTCTCCTGTGTGCCAGATGTGTTTGAACTTTCACTGGCTATTTTTCTTGCACTTCTCTCACACTTCAAGATTCATTTAAAAATGCAAATTGAGGTACGACTCTATTATCTTCTAGTTTGTACATTTTTGTTATGTTAAAATGTTGGCTGCAATTTCTATGTAAAATTCAATTATGGTTGCATGATTACTTTTCTAAACTATTAGCTATTCCTATAAAACTATTGAACTTTACCTATTGACACTTCTAGCACACGAAAGTGTTGTAGCCCAACTGTCTGTCTGGTTTTTTTAAACCTTGTGTTGAATATGTTGTTTCAGTCAGATAATTGTTCATTCAGGCCAGTGTCTGCCTGAATGCTGCTCTGGTGAGAAATTAAGTTCCCTGGGCAATAGATTTGAATAGATCTGCTGAAAGCTGGTGAGAGGATAACTTTGAGATCAGGTATAAAAAGCAGAAAATGCTGAAAATAATAGGCAGGTATCTGTTGACAACATGGCCAGTGGTTGGATCCAAATATTGGGAACCTTACTGGTGCCCATATATAGTTAATGGCTTGTTCAAAGTGGCTGTTGTGCTGTGATCATCATGACAGCTGTAAAATCTCTCATCTAAAAGTGGCATAGTAGTAACCTGCAAAACTGGCTCTTCCAGGAATCCAGTCCACAAAATCATATGTAACACTTCAGCAATAAGTTGGGAAGACCACCTCTTGACGTCACTGGAAATCTTTATTGGCGAAGAGTTAACCATAGATTGGATGATTGGGTGAAAGTAGTATTTGAAAAGAAGTCACGAATAATCTCGCTTTTTAAAATCTGGGCCACATTAGGATTTACTTAAATGCCAAATTCTTAATATCCTGAATTTAAAAAATAATATTGACATTCATTTAGTAGTGTCCATTACCCAGATTTTTGTAACTAACTTTCTTTTGCTTAAAGCCATACTCTTGTTCTGATTGCATACAGTCTTCTTTTTGCTCATCCTATAAGGCAGTGATGACCATGTTCTTCATCTGGGGTGTTTTGTAGGACTCTGGGTATGTATGTGACTACTAAGGTCAAACTTTGTCCAGATTCTGCTACAAATTGGACAGGATGGTGCAAAAATTCGGTTCGGAGGAATTGTTTAATTGGACTTTTGCTCCATGCAGTTTCCCTATGCCTTTGGATGTGCTTGCCATCAAAGAGAGGTTGAACTGATTTTCACTTGGAGTTGCCAGGACTTGAAAGTGACACAAACTGTGAAGTGTAGTCTTCAGAGCATTGTTGTAGTGCTTCCTTTGACCACTGAGGCCACACCCTGATACAATCTCTGTTTGGAAGATTTACTTCTTCAGTTTACTTTACTGCAGTCGTCTCCTGTCCAATTGATAAATATCTCCCTGTTTGAGTCCCAACCCTGTTTTCTGTTTGACCGAAACTAGTTTAATGAAGTGACAGATGACATCCATGAGTGAACTCCCTTACAAAGTAACTTTTTTTTCAACTTGTTCAGTTTCCTTCCAGTCAAATATGCAATAATTACATTTCAACAAAATTTATGTGCTTGTCTAAAATTCAGGTTAAAATCTGTGGAACCATCTTTTACGCCAGTGTAGGATAACCGTGATTTAATCATGTTTATGTCAATACATGATTTCTGCTAGGGAAAAAATGTCTACCTGTAAGGTTGAATTGTGTAGGGTTTTATTAATTAGATTTATTAACTCCTGCTTCTCCAATTGAGCAGGTTTTCTTCAAAGAGATTTTTCTGAATATTTTGGAAACGTCCACCAGTACATTTGAGCATAAATGGATGGTCATTCAAACTCTGACCAGGATTTGTGCAGGTAATTTGTTTCATAACCCTTTCACCTTATCCTAGTAGCCTGTACTTTGCCTAATGTTTCAGCACAGCTGAGGAATTTGTTTTTCTGTGTATTACTTCAGTTGTGATATCCAGATACCAGACCTGTTTCTTTTCTCCTCCCATTTTAAATCTTCAGAATCTAGACACCACTTTGAGAATATGTTATCCCTGGGCCAACAAAGAAAACATGACCGGATTAGGAATTAATGTCTGCCAAAGCCATGTTATAAATATTAATTATTTTTAAAAATCAAGTATGTTTGAAGAACAATTCCTAACCAATTATGGGTTCTTGTTTTTTAAACCCAGTCTTAATAGTATTTGCACATAGACTCTGGACTTGTATAGTACTTCTAAGTTTATAAAAGTGATTGGTGCTTGGTACTCATCCAAGTGAATCACATGAGTTTTGAACATGATTGTTTCTTGGAAATAACTATCAGTTCCTCATTTATGTGAAGGAGAAAAGGATACAAATGGTGTAAACCATCTAGTTTTGCATCTGAAGTAACTGTAATATTTTGCGATTATTGGAACTGGCAAATTTGTTTGAACAAAGATTACATTTTTTGACTATGTAGCATTCTGTAGGGAGAACTTGTCCCACAGTGTTAGCGTGCCTGCCTCTGGAACAGAGGATCCAGTTTCAAGTCCCACTTAGGACTTGATGGCCATAAGGGTGTGTTCTTCATGTGGCCAGACAGATTGGTTACCAGCCTTCAAATCCACTTGACTATGTCTGTGGGAAGCCCTAAGAATGGGAGAGTTTCCTGGTCAGCTGTAGTTGATGCAGAGTGACATGCCCGAAATGGGTGAAAGGCAAGTGGCGTTTTAAAGAAAATGTCTAGCTGTTGAAACAAATGTAGGCTTGAACTTAGTACATCTCATGGCAAATGAAGCGGACAAAGTGAACAGAAGAATAAGCTGTATCCAGAGTTCCCTCTAAGATTTCTGGTACCTGGTGATGCAGGAATTCAGAATGCAAATGCAGGAGGAAATAAAAATTCTGTGCGCAGTGACATTTCGTAAGATGCCAGCTTTCATCACTAAAGTCAATTTTAAAGACACTACAAAATGCAACAGACAGAATATGATTTGCAAGTATAAATGAGACAGAACTTTGGCTCTGTAGGCTATCCAATAAACATTTCATTTTGAGTTTAAAAGTTATTAGCTTCCTTAGTATAAACAAATACAGGTCAGTGTGATCACCAGGCTGAAAAGAAACCAAGTATAATGTTAAATTTCATATTTTGTATATTTCAGATGCTCAGTGTGTCGTGGATATTTACGTGAACTACGATTGTGATTTAAATGCTGCAAACATATTTGAACGTCTTGTGAATGATTTGTCGAAAATTGCTCAGGGACGAAGTGGTCAGGAACTGGGGATGACACCTCTACAGGTAAACTGAGTTTCTCAATAATTGGAAGAATGGTGTAAAGTTAGTGACATGTTGTATTCCAGATCTTGTAATTGCAGTGCTCAAGCTGTTTGACTGTCAAATTGTCTACATTTAATTTTCAAGCATTGCATTTAAGTCTATACCTGAAGGATTTATGTTGTCTCTATGCAATTTATGTAAGGCCTAGCTGCTTATGAAAAATATATGGAAGTGAGACATTGTGGAAAGAGAGGGAGAGATATGAAAAAATTGATACCGTTTGAATGTTTGCAATTTTCCTTATTTTGTTTTTAAACGCTAAATTGGCACTTTGTTATAAATATCTTGTTTCCCCTTTTCCTTACCAGATGCTATTACTTCAACACTTGAGATTTAAAGTATTCATAAGTTACTTTGTTGTGTCAACTGAACCTTTACATCATTGGATTGATTTCAGCATCTCTATAAGATTTTATAAAAGGACCAGATGCAGAGGGCAATGTTTTAATTTCAAAGTGCTAAGTCTCGCGCAGGCAATAATGAGCATTGTGGGAGACAGCAAGACAGAAATCCCACACGTTTTCCGTTTCAGGCCAATTCATAAGAGCTTTTCAAATGTTCAATTTCTGAATTTGATGGAGACGCACTGTTACATGTGCCTTTTAAAAGAGGACTGGCTCTTTGGTGAAGACAGTCATCCTGGCCTTATGAGGATCAGGAAGTAATAAGTGACAGCTATTAATCCATGGCTGCCCTTAGTGCAGCACAGATGACCAAGAGAATGGACATGCAGCACTTTCGGTTTTGGAGGGTTTCAGCACCTCTCCAGCATCATGCAGGGAATAGAATGGGTGCAAGGCTATCAAGATGCACTTGAGCTATCACTTGCTTAGAAGTAAGGATCCACCCAGCATTGGGGCATGGTTGACAGACTCTTTTGCCCAGAAGTGATGAGGATCAATATCCTGCAAGAAAGGTGGAAATCCAAGCAAGATGAGGATGCAGCAGATTAAGGAGGGCAGGAAGGGCACACAAGTCATTCTCTCAAAATGGTTTTCCCCTGAAGTCTCTGGTATCTGGAGGTAGTAGTTGTCTTTTCTGTAGGATGAGGGATTTGAAGACTAGGGGGCACATTAAGGTGACGAGAGCGACTCAAAGACATGAAGAGCAAATTGTTTACACGGTGGTTTGCATGTGAAATCACCTTCCTGAAGTGGTGGATGTGGGTACACTTGGAACATTTTAAAAGACATTTAGATAAGTACATGAATAAGAAAGGTTTGGAGGGATATGGGACGGGAGCAGGCAGGTGGGGCTAGTTTAGTTTGGGATAATGTTCGGCATGGATGTGTTGGACTGAAGGGTCTGTTTCCGTGCTATATGACTGTATGTCCAAGACCCAGTGCCTCTGGAGACTGCTTCTCTGCAGGCAGTTGATCATAGACATCTATGCCCTTATCTTCTATGACCTTACACCTCACAGCATTAGTTGCCATGCCCTACAAGTGGACATCATCATCACTGTGACCTTGAACTTAATCTCTTCTAGTTTCTTCAAATATCAGCTATCAACCTAAGGACATCTCCTTACAAGTTCGCAGCATGCCATTGCATCTTGTGGTCATTGCTCTCTTTTCAACAGCTGAGCGAGCAGTGCATTAATTGAATGACAGCCTTATCTACAGTTTGCCAACCAGAAAAAGACCTATTTATCCTGACTGTCTACTTTCTGCTAGTTAGCTAATCCACTATCCAAGCTAATATATTACTCCAAACCCCATGTGATCTTACTTTGTGTAATGGCGATTTGTGTGGCACATTATCTAATGCATTCTGGAAGATCAGACATACTGCATCTACAGAACCTCTATTGTCCACTTGCCTTGTCAACTTTTTGAAGAATTCGTGCAAATTAGTTCAACACGATTTACCTGTTAAACTAACTGGTCTATAGTTTCCTGCTTTCTGACTCCTTCCTTTTTTGAATAAGGATGTTGTATTAACATTTTTCCAATCCACAGGAACTTTTCCAGAACCAGGGAATTTTGAAATGTTATAACCACTGGATCCATTGTCACCGTCACCACTTCCTTTTAAGTTCCTCGGATGTAGGCCATTGGGCCACTGGGACTTGTCTGCCTTGAATTTCAATAATTTGCTCAGTGCTTTTTCCCTAGAGATGGCGATTGTGTTTTAAATTCCTCTTTTCCATAACCTCAGCATTACTTGTTACTATTGTGATGACTCCGCTGTCTTCCACCATGAAAACTGAAACAAAATATTGATTCCGTGTCTACCATTTCTGTGTTCCCTATCATAAGCTCTGCAGTTTCACCCTCTAAGAAGTCAACATTTTAACTACTCTCTTCCTTTTTACATTTGCCCTGGTTTTCATTCATAATTTACCTTTGCTCTTTTTATTACTTTTTTTTTTGTAACCCTTTGTTGATCTTTCGAAGTTCCCCAGTCCTTCAGCCTTTGCAGTATGGTAAGTCTTAGTTGTTGCCTTTGACATATTTTATTTTCTTGCTTCGCCATGGATGCTGTTGCCCCCTCTTAGAATCCTTTCTCCCTCTGGAATATATTTAGATGGGAGGATATAGATGTTGATCTATCCATCTAGTTCTAACTTAAAAATATATTCCAGATCTCTGCTTCCACCACTTTTGCAGGGAAATAATTCCAAACACATGACCTTGGGGGAAATAAAATGTTGCCTCTCTCCTGTTATAAGGGACCCCTGATTTTTAAACAGTGACCTCTAGTTCTTGTTTCCTCTATAAGAGGAAATGTCCTTTCTACATCTACCTTGTCAAGATTTCTCAGGATCTTTTGTGTTTCAATCAAGTAATCTCATTATTCCCTTGAATTAAGATTCAAACCTAACCTGTCCAACCTTACCTAATAATTAACCTCCTTCCAAGTGTTTGTTCAGTAAACATTCTCTGAACTGCTCCCAACACATTTTACCTCCCTCGTTAAATGAACTGTCCAATACTGTGTGCAGTACTCTAGATGCAGTCTCACCAATGTCCTGTGTAGTGGAAGCATAACTTCCCTACTTTGGTCTTCAATTCCCCCCTTATTAACTGATCACATTCTTTTATTCTTCCTCATTACTTGCTGTATTTGCTCATTCACCTTTTGTGATTCATGCACTCAGACTATCTCTGAACCCATCTAATTAACAAATGTTTTTTAGGGAATGGAATCTGCTGTTTTTACCCTGTGTGGACTTCGGACCCACAGCAATGTGGTTGATTCTTAACTGTTCTTTAAAGTCATCAAGTGTACCACTAAGTTGTATCAAAATGCTGCAGAAGGAATAAACTGCAAACACAATCTGATTTTTCTCACTTGTCTTCGCCTGCATTGTTCTGTAGGAGTTCTGATGAAGGGGCCTGGAATTTGGTATCTTTTGTTCTGCTTGTCATAACTTTTGCAAATGCACATGTTTTTCCAGTGAACTGCAGAATGATTGGAGTGCAAATTTTGTCTTCAGAAGGAAAACATTTGTAGCTGCAAGTCAATAGTTCATTTGTTTCCGTTTAGAAAATGTATGCCCTGATGGTAGGTGGTTTTATATGGTTTCCTAAAATTTTAAATATTGAGAATGTGTTTCTCTTTGTAGCAAAGAATTAAATACAAACCACATTTGATTTTAAATCCATAAATCTTGATCAGAGAATGAGAAGAAAAAGCAGTGAGTTTATGGTTCTTCAAGTTTTTAATTTGTCTTTTAGATATTTAAAAGACAAATTTGATATTTAATTTGTCCCACTGAGGAAATGTTTATCTACCTTTCAGGAACTGAGTCTGAGGAAGAAAGGACTGGAATGTTTAGTTTCTGTCCTAAAATGCATGGTTGAGTGGAGTAAAGATTTATACATAAATCCAAACCTTCAGACAAATCTTGGTGAGTTGGCAAAACATCTGCTATCTGCCTTGGAAATCTCAACTTTTACTTTCCTTGTTATTATTTTCACTGACTGTGTAATGTTTAGGAAAATAACCTTGCTTAGAAGTCACGAACAATTTCTAAACGATGCAGTTGGCAAACAATGCAACTGAAATCAGGTTCTTATTAAATGAATTTGTAGGTCAAGAGAAGTCATCCGAGCAAGAGAACTGTGAAGGTAAACATTTGGAAACTACACGCCGACGAGGGAGTACAAATTCCTTTGACTCCACAATATCATCAGGTATTGGGAGTATCAGTGCGCAGACATGTTCAGCAGACGATCCTGAGCAATTTGAAGTCCTGAAACAACAGAAGGATATTATAGAACAAGGGATAGATCTGTGAGTACTCAACTATAATAGCCGATTTGAATATTTATTGTGCTTTAAGACTTGCTGTTTGGTTTTATGGGAGTTTATCAAATGAATGTATGTACTAACAGCTACCCTTTCTGCTGCAAGGGGCTTTAAATTAAATCTGAACTTTTAAGAAATGGATTTGACCAAGTTGCAATAACTTTACACGTATGAAAAGCTGAGGAAGACACAGGCTATTGGATAAATCAAGCCTACTCCATCTAAATCTGAGGAAACTGTCAACTGATGTTATATTTCTCCTAGTCTCTTTGTTTCAATGGAAATTAAGGTCTAAAAGCATCACATCATTGTTATACACTGTTAGAGTCAGAGGGCAAGAGTTGTTGCTTGCTTCTGCTGATTTTTTTGAATAAAATCTGTCTGAAGTCAACTTGAACCAGCAGGAAGATTGGAGGAATTTTGACCCCCAAATCCAAGTAATTTTTATTGTGAATTTCCATTAATTTAAGTCCATTGGGTAGGCTTTGAGGCAATTTTTAAAATTAAAACTTTTTCTGGAGTACAATGATGATTATAGACACATTACAAACCTCATTTCTTAAGTTTCTAAGATACTAATGACTACATCATTGAAACAAGTAAAAAATTGAGTGACTTGGACATTTTTATTTGTTTAGCATCAGGTTACTTAAGGTGGTAGACTAGATACCAAAGTGGTTTTTTTTGTCTATGTTCATAAAGTTGTATAAACTTGCTACTCAAATTCATATGTTGGAATATTTATTATCAGAAACTTTCACCAAAGGAAATACACTCTAGTTGCACTGGTCCATGGAAGGTTTTACCTTTGCAATGAGCAAATTTGTTAAGAGGGTACTTGGCAAAAAAATCTTCTGCGCCTGAGCATAGTTGTGCCTAGTTTGCAAATTTGATCCAAAATGGAAACACTTGGCCTCTAATATTAAACATTACAATTGTAGAAGATTTTCAATATTTTAATGCAAGTTATTCTGGTGCTGCAAAGATGCAATCAAATTGCTAGAACAGAGTTTCAACTCTGAGGGAATATTGACAGAAATATGATATTTGGTCATATGGTGCTTGAAATTTCAAGTGTTAATTTACTGCACAACTGAGAAATTCAGGAAGTTTGTAAGAGCCACACTAATGCACAAAAACAGGCCCGTGCTTGTGAGTCACAGAGGATTTTGGCGCAGTTTTGCAGAATCGGCAAAAAAGATTAAGTCTGAGTGAAATGTATTAAATCACTGAGGACATGGAGAAAATTTGGGTCCATCTAAGACTGAGAAATGCTGTACGTGTGCAGTTATTCAGTAAAATTTACTTCTCTTCATACTGTTGTCCTGGAGATGATAGTGTGAATAGTTGTAGCAGTTCAAGGCTGATGAACATAATGGCAAGTTGGGCCAGGTGACCTGGGAAGAGCTGAGAAGGCTGCCAGTTCTCAAAGCAAGCAAGGTGGAAAATCTGCCATGAGGCTGCACTGTGGCGAAAAGTTAAAATAAATGATTAAAATATGAAACCTTTCTCCAGCCCACAATGCCTCACATGCCTTCACCTTGACACCATCCTCGTGCCCTATCAATGCCAACCTATGAAATCTAATGCCACTGGAAATCTCCTGGCACCCTCCATTGCCCCCAGCAGCTGGGAAAGTTCTGGGTTGGTTTACGCACCTTTCACATAGTTTTTTCTCTGCAGATAGCAATCCCAAAAGGCAGCTGAGTAGGCCCCCTGACCTTCACTCCAAAGGTATCCTGGGACCATATCCATAAGGGCACATCAACTCTCCAAATGGGGTATGCTGGCTATCCTAAACAAATAGTGCCAGCTAATGGCTTAATTGACAAGCTACCTCTGCAAACTATGCATGTGTTAACCATGTTTGGACTGAGAACGAGAAAAGCCAGCTTCAGGGATTTTGTTTTCGTGATGTCTTCTGCCCACTTTCTCTATGGTAAAGAATGTCTTGGTTGTTGTGAAGATCTGAGTAATGTGACTACCCATTGTCCTTACACAAACTGATAAGGTGATTCATGCAGTAGGGTGGAATGGTTTTATCACAGTGTAAATGATGGAGAGGGAGAAGGGAATCTGACACACACTGGATGTCAAACCCAAATTAAGCACCAAAGCTACACTTGCCAGGACAGCTTAGAATGGAATACAAGGCTAAAACATCTGATCTGGAGGTCAAAGTCTGCCACTTAGCCAACTGTTGGCTCTGATTTACCTGCTGGCCTCCTGTTTAAGGACAGAAAATTTATTTATATACTATTCTTTCAAAAATAAATATTGCTATTTTGTTAGAGAGTGACCCTTTAAACCCGTGCTCAAAAGATATTGTTTCTCCCTTTTAAAAAAAAATAGTTTACCCAGAATTAATAACCCAGTAAGAAAAAGAAATGTAAACCTTTGCAAATATATTATTGAAATCTAGTGTGATGAGCTTTTGGATGGCTATTCCTTTCTTTTGATAGAATTCAACTGCATCAAGTTCAATTGTCTTATCTGCATATGTATGGCTGGACCATTTGTTAACATTGTAAATTCTACAAGTCTGATTTGCCAGCCCGTAAAAATACGTTGTAGCACTGTTTCAGCAAAAAATGCCCATGAAAGATCGAGATAGCAAGAACTGCAGATGCTGGAGTCAGAGATAACAAAGTGTGGAGCTGGAAGAGCACAGCAGGCCAGGCAGCATCAGAGGAGCTTCTCTGCTGCCTGGCCTGCTGTGTTCCTCCAGCTCCACACTTTGTTATTCATGAAAGGCTGAACCAGTTACTTTGACTCTGGTTGGCAAATTATACATGTACAACTTGAATAGTATTTAATTGCATCCATCTAGTTTGTGTGAATATATCAGATTTGGACAAGAAGGTAAATCAGGAGCAAATGTTCCAAGACTGCCCTTCACTTACCTGTCTGTGAAAACATAAAGATTTACATGAAAACATTAAAATACAAGTGGCTATTGAGGCTGAGGCTGTGACATTTCTAAAGGAATTGGATAAATACTTGAAAAGGAAGAATATATAAGATGCAGGGCAATTGGACTATGTTAGATAGTTCTAATTCAGTGCTTGTCAAAGAGGAGCTGAAATTTTGGAGTTGCAAGCTCTGAGGCAGTAGTAGCTGCTATAGAACTTTAACCAAATCATTATATCTGCACATTTGGCCTAACCAGACAGGCACCGACTCTCCTGAGGGGTTGTGATAATTTTCAAGTCTTGAACTGGGGTCTCCATGGCAAGAAGTTTTAAAAATCACTTCTGTTTGAACAATTTGCATCCGCTTATATACCTAAAACTAGACAGTTTTTTTGAGGTATAGCTTCTAGATTTAGAATGAACCATGAGCATTTGCACCTGACTGCTTTGATGGTGTATCATAGCTCTTGGAAATATTGTCGGAATAGTTTCGGCTTTCAGCATGTTCTGTTGCTTTACAGTAAGTTGACAAGGAACTGCTACTTACAAACATCAGGTACATGCCACTATTTAAGCACCACTTGTACCAGGGTCATCACAATGTTAAATATTTAATCGAATTGCTCAAAGTCCCAAATTTTCCTGTCTGATGAACTCATACTAACAAAACCTGGACCAGGCCGTACTTAACAAGAAACTGCTATTTATTACAAAAAAAATCGATTCTAGCCACAGTCCAACAAAATATGAACTGTCAACACATGGGTCCTGTAGGAGAAACTCTAAGCCCCTTCTTAAACACATGCACATGCTCGTAGAAAAACAAACACAAATGGGTATTATGGGTGGAAAAATAAAACTGGGGAATTAGTTCAAAATTATCAGTCAATAAGATTCCGAGGGGTTTATTTTACTTTTCAAGTCCTTCTAATCTCCAAGCTGCTTATTCTTTACAAGATCTTTACTGCAGACTTGAGACAATTGGCACACTAATTGTTCAGTCTTTCAGTCACTAGTTAGAGGCAACAGTTTACAACAACCGTTGGGGGGGATAAACTAGTTGGCTGTCTTCTGGGTTTTGGTTACTTGACTGCAGAATAAGGGAGACCCTTTCCCTGCAGTCTGGAGACTTTTGGCCCTATGTTGTTTACGCACATTCTGTTCCCCTGCCAAGCAGTCAGAGTTGTCAACTTGACTTCTGGCCTCCACAACTGATCCTAAATGCACAAACCAATGGGCAATCTGCCTCCAGCGAAAGCTTACAAATGAGCGTTCACACCCATGATGCCAAGGCATCATCTCCCACTGTTTGAACAAAGCAACAGTGTTAGCACACCGCACAACAAGTTCCAATTAACTTGTTTTTGAAGGTGCACAAGCTCCTGCCACAGTACTTGGTTTAAAACTCCTTTCCCATTTCCGTCCACAATCCAAATTAAAGAAATATCAAAAAATGTGGACTTTACGTTCCAGTTTAGAAAATCTGTGAAATCCTTGTGTGTGTCTGCAGTAGCTCTTGTCAAATGGCAATGATGGTAATAGCACTTTTTTCTTCATCTCCAGGTTCAACAGAAAGCCAAAGAAAGGTGTGCAGTACTTGCAAGACCAAGGAATGTTGGGCACAACAGCTGAAGACATAGCACAATTTCTACAACAAGAAGAAAGATTAGATTCGGTAAGATTTACATTAATTCATGAGATGTGAGTAAAAACACTTTTTTTTTTTTTTTTTCTCTGCCAATGATGTATTCTATTTCTGAATGCAAAATTTACTGAAAACAAAATAGCCAGTATCCTAAAAGCAAAAAAAGAACAAACAATAGAATAAAATAAGTTTTCTTTTGCCTCTGATTCATATGCATGCTTATTGTTCTTAAGCATAAAAGCTCTGAACTTTGGTGGATAATTCAGGAGTAGCGTTATATCTGACAGCAAATAATAAACTTTAGAAAGCTACTTGATTAAACTTCAAGTATTTTCTTTAAGTGTAACTAAAATTCAAGGCGCTTTAATGTTCTCCTCCCATATTTTGCATGTATGCATGGTTGACAGTATGATCATAGATGCATGTTGATTTAAGCTTCAAGTCAATTCTTCATTCTGACAATCTCATTTTAACTATGAATGGTGGATAAGAAATTTGATTGTAAGAATTACACAACAGACTAAATGAGCCAGGGACTATACTTGGTATGTTGTATATTACATGACTTTTTGTTGGAATGCACACTCCTGAGATTGGGATTAAATGAGCTATTAATGTGAAGAAAATGCCACTGTCTTTGTGTGTCTTTCTCCCCCTCCGCCCGCTTCTTCCCCCTTCCTTTGCCCACCCCACCCCACCCCAGTCACAACGTTTATCATGAATTCAAATTCACTTCATGGCAAATATTTATTTCATTTGGAGCTCAAATAATATGACTAAAGGATCTTTATCTTGGAGTATTCTTTTAATTATTCCAGTGTTTGGCTTGTCTGTGAACTGAAAATCATTCTTCTTTCTTTGTATTGTAATTTTTTGATGACTGTTTAATCTCATGTCAGAACTTGAAATTAATTTAACATTGCTGAATGTCCTTGCACACTTCCACAGAGTCAAGTGGGTGAATTCCTAGGAGAGAATAGTAAGTTCAACAAAGAAGTGATGTATGCTTATGTTGATCAACTGGACTTCTGTGAGAAGGATTTTGTCTCAGCACTTCGTATATATCTTGAAGGCTTTCGTCTGCCTGGGGAAGCGCAGAAAATTGACCGACTCATGGAAAAGTTTGCAGCAAGATATTTGGAATGTAATCAAGGGTAATTTAAAGTGTAAACATTTTAAGTCTTAACGTGAGAACTGGTGATGCTTTCAAAAATTGTACTTGAAGATTTTTAACATGTATTTAATTAGGTGATGCACTTTTTACCCCACCTGTTTTCCCCCCCACCCCCCACCCAGACAGATACTATTTGCAAGTGCTGATTCGGCATATGTCCTGGCCTACTCTATTATAATGCTGACAACAGATCTGCACAGTCCTCAGGTAACTTCATTCACAAGACATTTTTTCCTGAATTAAGATTTGAATTTGTGTTGTGACTGATTTTCCTAAGCTAAACTATGTGAGGGATTAGCATTCCAATTAATTTGGGTATGGACTTTCTCTTTTCTGCCCCCCACGGCATCCCTCTCTGAAAATTTTCCATGTAGCATGATCATGAAATATATATTTTCATTTCCCCTCCTGTGTCGTCACATTGGGCATTTTTGCATTTTAGTGAAACTGCAATGGCAGCAATAGGAAATCCATGTCACTTCACAAAATAAAATCAGCTTTTTATTATTGTGGAGACGGGTGGAACTTTTAACTTCCGCAGGGAGCAGGCAGCTGATCTGGTAACACATTTTATATTACCAACCAAAGTTGATGTTTGTCTCAATGTTAGGATCATTATTATGCTGTTGCTGAAAAAACTATTTACTATAAAGAGAATTGTTTGGATCAAATAAGGCCACAAAGAATATCAAATCAGTGGTGTTGAAACAAATGAAAAACCTTTAGGGCCTCCCTTAAAACAAAAAAGTGATTTTATTAGAAGCTTGATTCAAGAATCAGTTAAGACATCTATATAGCTTCATGGAAACACAATCATATAGTGCAGAAAAGATCCTTCAGTCTATTGAGTCTGCACTGGCAAAAACTAATCTAAATCTACATTAGTCCTACTTTCCAGCACTTCCTTAAAATCCTATTGTAAGACTTGTGTTACATTTATGTATTGAACAGGTAAAGAACAAAATGACAAAAGAACAGTACATAAAAATGAATCGTGGGATCCATGACAACAAAGATTTGCCAGAGGAATACCTGTCTTCCATTTATGATGAGATTGCAGGGAAAAAAATTGCCATGAAAGAGACTAAAGAATTTTCAGTCACACCAAAGTCTACCAAACCAAGTAAGTTTAACGTTGACGATTTCGAGAAATTGGCTGCTAAATATAGAGCACAAATACTTTAGTGATCCGCCAAAAACAAGAGTATATTGGATGTCATAGTTTCTATAGATTAAAAATATTGGTCCAGATATTATGGCGGCTTCATAGTTCATCTTTTTTAGGACTTAAGTTTGGGGGCCTGTTGAAACATTGGTTTATTTCAAGCTCTGTTAAGATACTTTTTTTCGTTTTGTCTTTTTTGTCCAATTTATTTTGAGAAAATGAGCATTTCCTGGAATCCACATGGTTTTAGCTAATTGCTGTACTTGTTTGGTAGAGGTCACCAAGTTTTGTGGCTCTTTCCTTTGGACTTTGTTTTTTGTTTTGTTTTTGTTTTGTTTTGTTTTGTATGCTGTTCAAGTTTCTGGTTTTCAGGCGGGAAGTTTCTTTTCAAACTGCTGAACAAGCTTCCCAGCTCAACTCTCCTGTTTCTCTAAAAGCCCTTGAGCATCCAGGATGGTACCTGGAATGCTATTCAGCTGCTTTTGCGAAGACTTTGAGGAAGTTCTCTTCTACTTGAATGTCAACAATTGCCTATGTTCTGTGACGTGCACTAGGATGCAAACTAAAAACCAATTTGCGCATCTTTATCCTTTTTTGACTTTGAAAATTAATCATTATTGGCCAAAAGTGCTGTGTACCAAACTGAATCTCTGCTGTGAGAAAGTCCCTATTTTCTACCTCCTTACCCTGTGTTTAAGTGTGTATTTTGAATTACTTAAAGGAATAAACATTTTTATTTTCATATTACCAAGTGAAAGGGTGAGTATTAATTATTTATTTCTTCTTAGAGACCTGATTTCTTTATTTAAATGTTTATTGATGCACACACAGGAGTCACATCAAGAAAATGGCGTACAACTCCAATCTTAATTGCCAGACCTAAGGTTTTATACTATTCTTACCGATAACAAGCTTCTAATCAACTATTCCTCTAAATAATAGTTTCCAATCAAATGTTACACTTTACAATACTCCTCCTATCTTTACTCAATTGTGTTCACATTCCAGGTTAATGTATATTGACTATATCATCCAATCATATTTGGACCATTGTACATCATTATGTTCCCAGTCATATGTTCTAGCTGCAGTAGGTACTTTGTAATTGGTTACCAGGGAAATCCTTGAGGAATTAGTCTTCTAACAGCCAATGCTGTCCTGATACTTGAAGCTCCCTTCAGACACCTGATCAAGCCTACCACCTTGCCCACCCATCTGCCAGCCAGCCTATACACCTTCTTACTCTACTCCCTCATCTATTTACCTTAAACTTTATATTCTGTCCTTTTCATAGAGGCTTTGTATATTTTAAACCTCTAAGTTCAATTACTGCTGTAATGACTTTTGGTGACTTTGGTTCTACACTTTGTTGTTTCACTAAACAATTTAAATTTAATGGATTATTATCACTCGATTTAATGGGAAATTTTTAGTGGAATTTACTTTAAGTTCTTTCCATCTTGGTATCAGTTGTTGATTTTTATCATCTTTGCTTCAAGGTGTAGCCACTGAAAAACAGCGAAGACTTCTATATAATCTTGAGATGGAGCAAATGGCAAAAACTGCAAAAGTCCTGATGGAGGCCGTTAGTCATGCACAAGCACCATTTACAAGTGCTACACATCTTGAACATGTCAGACCAATGTTTAAAGTAAGTTTGATTCTCAATCTCAAATTTCCTGTGACATGGTAGAGGCCATCACTGTTTTTCTTTTTTTTCCCTTATTTGGTTTGGAATTGAAGTTGAAGTTAAGAATTGAACTTGGAACAGCAGCTTTTTTTAAAAGAGAAGAGAACAAGGACAGATGTTTTCTGTTGGGAACTGGTCTGGAAAGTAATGTAACTTAATTATTGATTGAAGGATGCTGTAGATGACCTGGCATCGAGTATTTGCTATGTTCAGGGCTAGCAGCTGGTTGGATATTGAATTGATCAGTGAAGGGAGGACCAGTGCTAACCAACCAACCAACCACAGACAGTGAGGCAGTTCTGACTGGGTTTGGCAGGTGACGGTGTCATTTTTGAAAGCTTCCAGAGACTGAGCTGCTTTGTTTTTGCTGTCTTTCTAGTTTCTCTCCAGTTAGTGAATTGTTGAATGTTCTGAGAAAAGAATCCCAATCTGTAAGAAAGAAATAAATATTTCTAGATGTCTGCTGAAACTGTTTTAACGAGTAAGTTCAGAATTCAGGCAAGATGCACAATTCTACTTGTTCATGAACAATCAGGATGTTCAAGGATTTCTGAAGATCTGGTATCCATTGTTTATTGAACTGTCAAATTACATTTATTGTCTTTCTAATTTATCCCTTAACTCTGTGTGTGTGTGTGTGTGTGTGTGTGTGTGAGAGTAGGGGTTATGGTTATTGATATTAATTAGGTTGCCTTTTGTTGTTTATCTGTGTTCTACTAAAGTTACGTGATTTTTAACTTAATGTCCAAGACCCTGTTATTTGTAAAGTATGGTTAGAAGTAATTAAGTAATTTTGAGGGTCATTGTATGTTTCACCTTCACTGTTGCAAATCCAGATAGTGGAGCTGATTTGGATTGGCTTGCTAGCCCTACGTCATAGCACAGGACTGAGTGGGATCCTGGAAGACTTGCTGTTGACTGAAAATAATGCATTTGAATTGTTGTATTTCCTCAGTTTTGCATTGTGGACTAGCTAAATTGTTGTTTGAATTCATATGTTTCACCTGTGTTTTATAATCTGCTGGAGTGAGAGTATCATACTCAGACTATTTACTCCATTTGTAGAACAGTGGAAGATCCACTGCTGTGTCACTGTGCTCTGTTCTACGAATGGTTGGTTCATGCAGATCACCATATGACATCTGGAAGCAAATTTTCATTTTCATTGACAACAATGTAGAAACCTTCAGAGAAAAAATTAAAGTCAAACAGCATTAAAACAGACCCTTCAGTCTAACCAGTCCATGCTGACCATAATCCCAAACTAAACTAGTCCCACCTACCTGCGCTTGTCCCATATCCCTCCAAACATTTCTTATTCATGTACTTATCTAAATATCTCTTAAATGCTGTAACTGTACCTGCATCCACCACTTGCACTGGAAGTTCATTCCACACATGAACCACTTTCTTTAAAAAAACAATTGTCCTTTTATGTCTTAAAATTTTTCTCCTCTCTCCTTAAAAAGTATGTCCCTCAACTTCAAGTTATGCCCCCAAGTCTTGAAATCCTCCACCCTAGGGAAAAGGCAGCTGGCATTGACCTTATCTATACCTCTCTTTATTTTATAAACCTGTACGAGGTCACTTATCAGGATGTTGCTGGGTATGGAAGATTTGAGTTATAAAGAAAAGCTGGATAGGCTAAGACTTCTTTCACTGGAGTGTAGGAGGTTGAGAGGCAAGTTAAGAAAGTCATGAGGATAGATAGAATTAATGGTAGTTGTCTTTTCCCTAGGATGGGGGTTTTCAAGACTTGGGGGCATATTTTTAAGGTGAGAGGAGAGGGATTTAAAGAAGGCATGAGGGGCAATTTCTTTTACACAGAAGGTGATTCACATGTGAAATGAATTTCCTGAAAGTGGTGGATGTGAGTACAAATGCAACGTTTTAAAAGACATTGGATAAGTGTATGAATGGGAAAGGTTTGGAGCGATTATGGGCTAGGAGCAGGCAGGTGGGACTAGTTTAGTTTGGGATTGTTTGGCATGGACTGGTTGGATCGAAGGGTTTGTTTCCATGCTGTATGACTCTGACCTCTCAACCTCTTATGCTCTAGTGAAACAAGTCTCAGGCTATCTAGCCTCACCTTATAACTCACCCTCCTTCCTGGCAACAACCTGGTAAATCTCTTCCAGACTCCCTCCAGCTTAATAATATCCTTCCTGTCACAGGGAGACCAGAAATGGACACTACTCCAGAAGAGGCCTCACCAACATCCAGTATAACGTCCACAATGCCCCAACTCCTATACTCAGGTCTGAACAATGAAGGCAAGCATGCTAAACTCCTTCCTAACCACCCTATCTATATGTGATACAAAGAATTATGTTCCTGAAACCCAAGGACACTCTGTCCTACAACACTACCCAAGGCCCCAGTTTTAATTGTCTTACCTTTTGTTTGTTTGTTTTACCACAATGCAATACCTCACATTTATTCAAATTAAATTCCATTTGCCACTCCTCAGCCCATTGACCCAATTGATCAAGATCTCTTTATAATCTTAGATAACCTCCTTCACTGTTCACTATACTACCAATCTTGACGTCATCACAAACTTACTAACCATGTTTTCTATAATTCTCATCTAAACCATTTATATAAATGACAAAAGTGGACCCAGCACCGATCCTTGTGGGACAATCCAAAAGCCAACCCTCCGCCATCACACTGTCTCCTACGATGAAGCCAATTTCATATCCAATTGGCAAGTTCACCCTGAATCGCATGTGATCTAACTTTATTAATTAGTCTACAGTGCGGAACCTTGTCAAAGGCTTTACCAAAGCCCAAGTAAACAATGTCTACTGCTCTGCCCCCCTCAATCCTCTTGGTTACTTCCTCAAAAACTCCAAGTTTGTGAGACAGCATTTTCCTCGCACGAAACCATGCTGACCATTCCTAATCATTCCTTGCCACTCCAAATGTATATAAATTCTGTCTTTCAGAATCACTTCCAACAACTTATCCACCACCTGACTCAACCTCAAAGGTCTGTAATTCTCAGGCTTCTCCCTACATGCCGCCTTTAACCAAAGGCACAACGTTAGCCACACTCCAGTCATTCGGCACCTTGCCTGTATTTATAGATGATACAACTATTTGTATTTAGTTTAGAGGAAAATGTGCTGTTTTACAGGTGCAATTATTTCATTGAGTTATACTTTGTGTTGTTACAACAGTAATTTTGTTTCCAACTTAGTTTGTACAAAAAACAGGATGGCCATGCAACAGTTGTTTTGATTCTCTTGCTTTCAGGGAAGATGCTTTCGATTTTGAGATATTGTTGGCATTAGGTTTGATAGGAAATACTGCTCAACGTATATACATTTTTGTTTGCAGCTGGCATGGACACCACTTTTAGCAGCATTCAGTGTTGGCTTGCAAGACTGTGATGATCCTGATGTTGCCTTTCTTTGCCTGGAAGGCATCAGATGTGCTATTAGGATAGCCTGCATTTTTAGCATGCAGGTACGTATTCTCACACCCTCAACCTGAATACTCTATTATTTCAGATTTGTAGGCTTCTTTCTCAGAGCTGTGTTTTAAGCTTTTCACACAATGTGTGGAGTCTTTGGTTCTTCAGAACATAAATTGAGACAATTCCTAGTTCCTGACTTTCTTGCTGTTGGAATACCTGTCTGGGAGATGTCATCGTTTTGTGAGGAAACTAAAGAGATTAGCACCTGCCTGTGCAAGTGCATACAAAATCAGGGATATATAATAGACCAGCAATGGTCATGCAAATGCTTTGGGGAATGTATAAATTGGAGAAATGCAGAGTTTGTAAAGGGTTATAGAGTGTGATAGGCATACAGACATGCATGCAGAAAGAGTAGGCCATTCTATCCCTCAAGCTTACTCTGCCATTTGGCAGGTCATGGTTTCAACTTTCCTGTCTACCACCTAGTCCCTTGGACACCCTTGTCTGTCAAGAATCTATCTCACTCTGCTTTGAAGATATTCAATGACCCTGCCTCAACTGCTCTTTGCGGAACCTAGTTTCAACAATTCTCAGTGGAAAAAGTTTGTTGTTTCCACCTTAAATTGGGAGATCCCTTATTTTGAAACTGGTGTCCTCTCCTTTAAATTGTCTAGCTTTTCCCAAATGGGGTAACGTTATTGTGGCATCCACCCTTTCAAACTATTCAGAATCTTACATTTTTGGAAAAGATAGCCTGTTGTTCCCCCAAAATCCTATTAGATACAGATATGACCCGTTACACCTTTGCACATAAGAAAAATCTATCTTTCTCGAAATAGACCAAATGGCCTTCTCTAAACTGCTATGCAGCTATGTCCGTTTCTGTCTAAGATGACCAGAGCTCTGCACGGTACACCAAATATAGTTCCTCCAACACCCTGTACTACAGCAAAACTTACCTGTTATTTTCCATCCCACTTTCAATAAATGACTGTTGAATTGGCCTGCATAGTCACTTGCTGTACCTGCACACATTTATTTTGTGATTCGTGTATCAGGGCACTTTGATTCCTTTATACTGCAAAGTTCTGCAATCTGTTTCCATATAAGTTACATGCTGCTTTTCAATTCTTCCTGGTAAAGTTGTTAGGAAGAGATAAGGCTGTAGGGAGATTTGAACCTACAGATAATTTCAAAATTTGAAGCATTGGTGGCCATTAAGCATAGAGGTGTGATTGGCAAAGGTGACTTAGGTAGCAGAGTTTTGGTTGAACACGTTAGTGGAGGATGGAAAATGGAAGGGTGATCAGGAAAGCATTAAGATAGTCAAATCTAGAGCATTGAATAAAGGAAGAAAGTTTCAGCAACAGCTATGTTAACATGAAGTAGGGGTGTAAGTAATTGGGTTTTTTTGGTGAAGAAGATATGGCATCAAAACCTTAGCTTCTTGTCAAATTAGACATACAGCTTGTGAGTAAACTTGTTTTTGACATGAGACCTTGTTCAGTAAAGAGAATGAACTCAGTTGTAGGGCTAAAGGCAATTGTTTTGTTTGTGCCAATGTTTGTTTGGCCAAAAGTGGGCCCTGTCTGGGATTGAATGTTGATAAAGCAGGCTGTTTGTCTTAATATAGAAAGATGGATCCCACTGAAATCAAATCCCAATTTTTCTTGCTGCTAATGCACAAGGAAGTTCTTGAATGTTGTTATAACTATTTTTGCATAGTAATTTTACATTTTGAAATCAAATAAAATGAATCATTTGTTTAGATTGAACGAGATGCCTATGTTCAAGCTCTGGCCCGTTTTACGCTATTGACAGCAAGTTCTGGCATCACAGAAATGAAGCAGAAGAATATAGATACTATTAAGACACTTATTACTGTGGCTCACACGGATGGTAATTACCTTGGAAATTCTTGGCATGAGGTAAATATTACGAGGGTGCTATTTCTTTCTTGGGCACACTTGTCCTGTTGGACAATGAATAAAGATAATGTTGCCCCTTCTGTTACCCATAATTCCTATTATGATTCAATACACAAAGGCTAAGCAAGTAACTAAGAAGCAAAACTTGTGGTCAAACTAGCTAGACCTGTGTTTAAGTTTATTTTACTATTATTCATGGCTATACGTAGCTTGTTCTGTTTAATTATTGGTAACCACTGTTTGGATCTAGATACTTTCTAATCAAACGGTACAGAAATGTTATTACACCTCTGAAGCAGGTGGGACTTGAACACAGATCCTGGCTGAGAGATGGGGATACTACCAGCACACCACAAGAGCCCTTCTGCTTTGATCTAGCGCTGACATAATAGCAATACCATATCAGAGTAGTTAATAAGTGTCTGGCTTGCATGAGTGTGCATCATCTGACCAGATGAAATATCCTGTTTTTGGTCCCATGTAATTAATTTAAAGCAGGAAGGTTGACCTCCACCATGCCAATATTTCTCTCTTACAATATTGAATGATAAATTTTTGGGCTATTTTTAAAAAAAAAAGTATAGCTGGAACTGTCACAGGATTTGGTCATAGTACAACTTTCTGTATCAGTCAAAAGCCTCAGTAGAAAGCATTCTCAGTAGTGCTTAACACACTGCCTAAATGTCTCAAATAACCGCTTGTGTGTGGAAATTTCCAATATTTTAATTTTCAGTGAATTTATCTTGTGATTTGTCACTTTAGAAACAATTTGGGTAGCGCAAACAACATTCCTCATAATTCATCACTTGGGCGGCTCAATGGTTAGCACTGCTGCCTCAGTGTCAGAGACCCAGGTTCAATTCCACTCGCGGACAACTGTCTGTTTGGAGTTTGCAGGGTTACAGGAATAAGGTAGGGGGTGGGTCTGGATGGGATGCTCTTCAGAAGGTTGGTGTGAACTCAATGGGCCAAATGGCCTGCTTCCACACTGTAGGGATTCTGTGTGAAATACTTGCAACTTTCCATTGTTTTGTTTGGTCCTTTTCTTAAAAGTGGGCTAATCTTAAGACAGATGCACGCTTGATGAAAGCAGAATTTTTTAGGCGAAATGTTTCAAATGATGAAATTAATTCTGTATTTTGTGATTATATGTCCACTTCTGATTTTGAGTACAAACAAAACTGAACATTTTCTTGCAGACAAAATGCAAACATTCATATCATTTTAGAGGTAACTGGAATGTAAAATTTCATCTCAAACACCCTTTTTTTTTCAAAGGTAACTTGTTGAATTTCTAATCTTGTTCCTAGATATTGAAGTGCATTAGCCAGCTGGAGCTGGCACAGTTGATAGGCACAGGGGTCAAGACTAAATATGTTTCTGCTTCTCTGCGAGCTAAAGATGGATTCACTACAAGTTCTGGAACTGGAGGAGAAGAATTCTTAGGACTAGGTAAAATGAATAACTTCATCATAGTAAAGCTATTGTGTGGATGCATCAACTGCAAACCTTTCTTTGAAATGTTCTGCTCAATTGTTGAATAGTGGCATTTGCATGTTTTGAATTGTAATTATCATATTGTAAACTAAGTTGTCCGTTCTCTTTAAGTCAGGGCACTTTTCTTTGATCAAGCATAAAGTACTAGCTAACTTATTTAGAGCACTTTTGTTTTCAATACATCCCGATCACAATTTAAGTGTAATTTGTGCTTATATATTTGGCAACACAATGATGGACTTATATTTTTGGTGATACTTTTTTTCCTTGCTGTGGTTGTAATTTAACTGCATTTTTCCTTTACACTTATGTTATACATGGAGGGAAAAAGACTTTTTTTATGCAAAGGACAACATCCCAATTTTATGACATTTTAAACCTCAAAGATCTGCAGCAAATGAATAATGCCTGGGATATTAAGTTACTTCAAGATTGTATAGCAAAGACAGGTTGACGCACCTTTTTCATTGTCACTGACCCTGCCTACTTGTACTATTGCATTTCAAAAAAAAAGACTTTTTCAGTGTCACCTTGAAAATGGCAATTGTCTTAAATTTAGCTGGAAGTTCCAGGAAGTCAGAAAGACAGTACTGTACTTCAAGAGTAGTGTAGGGAGTCAGTTGGCTAGATTTCTAATTTGTAGTGCACAGTGACACCAACAGCAGGGTTTCCATTCTTGCTGAGGTTGTCCTGAAGGTCTCACCTTTTCAACTTTGACCCCCACCTGAGGTGTGGTGACCCTTTGGTTAAAGCAACCACCAATTGTCTCCCTCTAATGAGAGGGCAGTCCTATTTTCCTCTGGGACTATGACGACTTCAAGTGTGGCCATCAGTGGACTGTGCACTTTAGAACTGCCTATTCAATAGTTGGTTTAGTTATTAAGCAAAGATAATGTCATGTTTAAGACTATTACTGCTTTTTCATGTAATACAAATCATTGGTTTGTATTTGATTGAATTGTTGAAAACTGAAAAATATATACTAAATAGATGCAAAAAGAAATTACTTTTATAATGTCAGAGCTCAACTTCTTCGTCTACGTTGCTCGCACAATACTCATCCAAGGAAGAGAGTCTACTTGAACACCAAGAAAATTATCGGATCAGTTTATAATAGCAGTGTAAACGTATTTATTTAGTGCTTTTAATGTGCTAAAAGGTTCCAAGATATTTCACAGGAATGTTGCCAAAATTTGGCTCAGAACAAAACAAAGCTATTAGGATAGCTAACAAAATGCTATTTGACAGACATAAGTTTGAAGGAGCAACTTCATGGAGGAAAGAAAAAGAAATGAAGAGTTTTAGAGAATGAATTCTTGAGCTTGGGTCATGTCAGCTGAGGCATAGATGCAAATTATAGGCAGTTAAAATTAGGGATGCTTCACCTGAAGTATTGAAAGATTACAAGCATCTCAGTGGATTGTAGGATTAGGACCATGTTGGAATTTGAAAGCTAAGTTGAGTGTTTTAAAATTAAGGCATAATTTAAACAGAAGCCAACCTAGGTCAGTGAGAATAATTCTGATGGGTGAATGAGGGAAGTGAATGGATTGGTCAAGTTCTGTTTTATCGAAAGCAGAGTTGAAGGTTATGGCAGCAGGAGCTGAGGTACAGCAAAGGGGAAAATCTCGTGGAGGTAGAAATAGTAGTCTTAGTGATGGTCAGAAGATTGGTCTCATTGGATGCTGAGTTAAAGTGGTGAACAGTCTAGATAAGCCTCATGTTTTCCAGGGAGAGTAATGAATACGAGGACTGAAGAATGGAGGTTAATAGTGAGGACTGAAGAAAATAGAATCCGTGTCCCACCAATATATCGAGGACTTTTTTTTTTGCTTGACAACTGCTAAATGTTGAACAATTAAGATGATAGTGAAGGAATTGAGAGGTGCTGAAGTATACCTGAATATTGTCAATATTTGAGAAAACTAACTCCATTTTTGGATGATGTCACCGAAGGGAAGCCTGCAAATTTAAAAATGAGGACTGTAGCATAAATTCTTGGACTTCAGAGGTAACAGTGCGGGAAAAGCAATTGCAGTTGGTTTCCTTGCCATAACTGGATAAGTAAAAATTGGATTAACTTTGCAGTCCTGCCCAGCTGGATAACTGGAAAGGCACTGATGAAAGTTGGTGTTGTCAACAATGTCAAATCCTTGCAGATACATTGAGGAGGATTAGTTTACCATTGTCACCGTCACATTGTGGTTTGTTATTTGATGAGAGCGTAACTGTACTGTGTCAAGGTTGACAGTCCTGATTGGAAGGATTCAGATGTGAATTTCAGAAAATATGGGCTCAGGTTTGGGAATCAGGAATATATTCAAGGACTTCAGAGGTGGTTGGAGGGCAGGAGATTTGCAAGGACGAAGGGAGTTGAGATTTTTGTTTTATAATACAAGTATGATAATGTGTAAGTGTAAACTTCGCATTGCAGGTTGAATGTGGAACAGTTAGCAACTTTAACAAATTAGACTAAGAACCGAATAGTTTGTTTTTGAGAAGTAGTCCAGTTCAATATGATAATGAATGGCTGACCAGTTTCCAGCAGTTTTGTTCAAGTTTTTATCTCTGAAATTTGAAGGCACAAAGATGCGGGTCGTACCAGAGGACCAAGCAATATGGTAAAGTCATGATTTTGCTGGTGCTTGGGACATCAAAGGTGGAGTGAGGATGTGTTTGAACAAATCCGTTATTGCAGAAATGTTGTGTTGTATAACATGTTGGATTAGTGATAACTTACTTTGAATGTTTTTCCACAATATCAATGTGTTTGGTAGTGAAATAAATGCTAAGCCAGGGAAAAACACTGAGACAGGTGGCCAACATTTATTGAGTATTTCCTTACTCTGAATTATGTATAATGTTAATTTTGTGGGGTTTCTTTGCTTACAGGTACCTTTGGCACTATGGATAAAAAACACATAGCCAGTATTCAGGAATCTGTGGGCGAGACCAGCTCTCAGAGTGTAGTTGTGGCAGTGGATCGGTAAAAGAAAAACCTCTTACTGTGGATTTTGCATGTATTATCTTGAGCAATTTTCAATTCTATTTTATTCTTCCTCTTGCTACGTTAGGATAAGACAAAGGAAAAGGGTATTCAGAATTGTTTATTGAGCCACTTCTGTTATTGTCCTGTTATATATTTGTAGTCGTTGCTCTGAACAGAGGCACCAAAACCTATTAAGTAGAGCTACTTTTGGAGATTTGTATCCCTTGCAATCCTCCCTATTTTAATGGAAGTGTTTTTTTTTTGTAGTTTTACTGATTCCAGATGTCATACTGTAGAATTTAAAATCTCTATTTTAATACAAACGTAAATGATTAACAAATAGACTAACTTTAAGGACACTTTTTTTCTTCTTTCTTATGAGCATGGGTGAAACTTTTTCAAGCACAGAATATCATGAAGTCATTCCAGGTTGAGAATTGCAACGTATCTCTATACAACATCAATCCTAGCCATAAAAGACCAATTTCTGTACTACTTCAGTGTGAAATGTAATATTACATATTCCTATAATTTTATAGCCTCTGAAAGGAAAGTGTTGATTCAGTACCAATTGGTATTTCTTTTATTTGTTTGTGGATACTTGATGGCAAGGTCAATGTTTAAGGGCCATCTCTAATTGCCTTTGCAAGATGACTGTGACCTGCCATCTTTTTTGATATAAAGTGAATCCATTGACTGAAGCCTGAAACCAGTAAATTGTGGGGACCTCTGGCAAAGGTGAATCGTCTACTTGGCATTTCTGGCAGATGATGGTTAATGTTTCAACCTTTATCCATTTTTGCTGTGTTGGGTTCTCATCATTATTGAGCATTTCCTCCTATTAATTTTCTTAAGACCAACAGAAGCTTTAAGCTGATGTGTTAGTTGTGGGATTGCTTAGCTTTGTCCGGAATATGCTGTTTCTGCTGATTAGCATCTATGCAGTCCTCTAATTTTTCCAGTTTGGGATTTTATTTTTCAATATATCTGGAGCTGCTCTTGGTATTACCCTCCTTTGCTCCCTATTGAATCAGGCTTAGTCCCATCAGGCTTAATGGTAATCATCAATTGAGGGATATGCCTCAAGTTACGTATTGTTGAATACTATGCTGCTGTATTTGGTCCACCGTGCCATGTGGATTTTGAGTTTTGAGCTGCTTGATCTATTGTGAATTTCATCTATTTAGAATGGTAATTGTACTATACAACATAGTGTGTGCATCCACTGATGGACATTGATTCAGTGCATATTCTGTGCCTTTGCCATCTTCGATAGTGGTGTTGGGCCAGTGCCAACTTGATGTAAATAAGATATTTGGCTGAATTCATTTGTGCTTAATTTCGGTCAGACTGAACTCTAGTACCTGAAATGAGTGACCAGGGGACAGCAGCAACCCTTGATATGTAAAAATATATTAAGAATAAGAGTTGCATTATGACACAAGGCTGTGGAACTTGAGTTATATTTGCTTCTTAGTTTGTGCAAGCCAATTTATTCATATTCAAGGTGCAAGTCCAGTGTGTCAGTGTGATATCTTGTTCGTCAGTTTGGGCATTTCTCGTTTGAGAGTAAATCTAAGACAATAATCGTTTTAGTTTCACTTTTTCATTTTCAGGATATTTACTGGATCAACAAGACTCGATGGAAATGCTATTGGTAGGTTTGTGGATTGTGTGTGTGTGTGTGTGTGTGTGTGTGTGTTGAAAAATTTGTTAGAAGCTCAATTTAAGCTACCAAACTTCAAATGAATAGATGTGAAATAAATCCATGATTTAGATGGGTCGTTGGTTCTTGATTGATTTTCACTATTTGGATGTGAATATGGGTTCAGATCCAGATCCAGGCTGGTGGGATAAATAGTTCCTTCTGTCAAATAAGTTTGGCTGGTTTATATTCTGCTCCTTGTGGACTTTGGTCTACAATGCAAAACCACTTGCAAGCAGTTGCAGTTAGAAATCTGCGGGGCAAAAAAAGTGACATAAGTAAAAGCACACTCGTAATGCTAGATTAAGGCATGTTATTGGGGCAGAATAAGAAGCATTAATCTGTATTTAATGTGGAAATGTTGAATGGTCCCTTAAACATGACAGACTTCTAGTTGCCAGCACTAATCCCTTCGAACAGGGAGGGGCAGGAAACTGAATGGGACAAAAACCATTCCATTCACTCAGCAGGTAGAGTGCAATTTACTATTTAGGTTTGAGTAATGAGAGGAAAACTGAGGAATTAAGTTATTCAGTTTATTTTCCCGCCTTAACATAACTGAACCAACACATACCACTAAGCCACCTAAATAAATTACTTGTTTAATTCCTTTGTTCCAGTTTTTTTCAACTCTTAATACTGTATTAATCTTAAACATTGATAACTGTAGTTCTTCAGCAAAACCACTTATGTCCTTTAGTTTTGTTCCAGGAATTTTCATTCCTCTTCCATTAAAACTATCATGTGAACATCTAGGCAAATAGCATCCTGAATTTCAGATACATACACTGCCACCATGTGGACAGTTTAATTTCCTTTTCCTACAAAAACATTATGAAGTCTTCATGTTCAGCATGCATGAGTTGATTACGAAGTGTTAGAGTCTCCACATGATCATGTGCTAATTTCTGAAGTTGCCACCTCTTTTGGCGTCTCCTAGTTGTCCAAATTCCTACTTGAAAACTCAAGCATGTAATCTAAATTGCCTTCTTCATGGATTAGGGATGACCGGTGATGGTATTTTTGGAAGTGATCTTAAACCAAGGCTTTTTTGAATTTTATCCTTTCAAGCAAAATTTTTTGTTTGTTCCTAATTGCCCTTGAGAATGTGGTGGTGAGCTACCTTTTTGAATCATTGCAGTGCATTGGTTTAAATACCCTTTGATCTGTTGTGGAGAAAGTCTCAGGATTTTGACTTATCATTACCAAAGGTTCAGTGATGTTGTACCATGTCTGGATGGTGTGTGGCTAGATGGGAAACTTGCAAGCAGTGTTGTGGTATTCCTGTGCATCCACTGCCTTTTGTTATCAAGGTGAAAGAGATTGTAGCCTTCGAAGGTGCAATCAAGAGTTTTTTGATTTAATTGCTAAGTAGCCCTAAAGAACCTTGTGACAGTTTTGGGAGAGAATACTGTGTCCTGTGTAGTATTCCTCCCTCAACCATCACCAGCCAAAACAGAATAGCTTGTCATTAATTTCCTTTGTGTTTGCTAAATCTTTACTGTGTGGAAACTGATTGCAACATAAGCTTCCATAACACTTTTACTGCATTTCAAACATTAATGGATATAAATCACTTGACCTTAGTTCTAGAGATGTGATCGGGTACTGTCTAAATGCAAACCTGGCTTTTTTTCTCCCATTGTTATCAGAATTCTATCATCAGGGGCACGCTTACAGTGAAGCCCTCGAGTTGATATGCCAATTGCTGCCAAACTACATCTACCGGAAATTTTGCTAGATGCCAGACTTAAGCCCTTAACACCCTACCCCCAAACATTCTTAAATGCCACAGTATTTATCTAATCACACACATCTGAACTTGATCATTTCTCTCTCATTGTGTTAACTTTTAGTAGGTTTTCAGCAAATGGTTGCAATGTTCATCTACAGATAGGCAGCTACGTAGTTGACACTCTCGAACATTGTTAAACTCAAGATTGAGTTTATTCCTCAAAGAACATGTGGAAGAGATGTTCAGCAAAGAAAAAGGAATGATAAGGCAGATTTGCAGATTCATGTTAGGTAATGAATATGAAAAACATCAGCCAACTATAAACTGAGGTTCTGTGTTTGAAAGAGCAAGTGGCTTGATGACTGAGAATGGCAAAGACACAAACTGGAAGGCAGAAATAATTTTTTTTTGTTCCCAAGGCATGTATTGGATTTCCTTGCAAAGCATTTTGAAATAATCTTTGAATATTCCCTTAAATTCACCAGTTGATTTTGTACATTGGCTGTGCGCTGTGTCTATGGATGAATTGGGTTCACCTCACCATCCACGCATGTTCAGTCTTCAAAAGATTGTGGAAATTTCATACTATAACATGGGTCGAATCAGGCTTCAGTGGTCAAGAATTTGGGAAGTGATTGGAGACCATTTTAATAAGGTACACTTTTGTTGATTTTTGCCTTTTCTGAATAAGTTTCTCATTTGGCTAAGGTCCAAAGTTCATACAAACATTTGTGCCTTTTGACTAATATGTTTTGCATGTATTTTTGGAAGAAGCCATTAAATACATGAAGAACTTAGTGGACGTGCTAACGGTTCTCTCTCAAGCACAAGATTCTGTTGCTCATAAGTAACTCATTGTATTTATTTTCTGGTACAGGTTGGATGCAATCCAAATGAGGATGTTGCCATTTTTGCTGTTGACTCTTTAAGACAACTGTCAATGAAATTTTTGGAGAAGGGAGAGTTGGCAAACTTTCGGTTCCAAAAGGATTTCTTGAGACCATTTGAGCACATAATGAAGAGGAACAGGTATGAATGTATTAGTTTTATTACTGAATTAGACATAGGAGCACATTTTATCAACAACTTTATTTCCCTAATATGTTGTCTCTCAACAATACTTTATTTACACATTACTAAACTCCAATAGGTCAGACACCAGTAATTTTTACAAGGAAGTTATTGAAGATGCATGTTATTGTTTTTGCTAGTTGCGAAGTCCTGTATAATTTTGTCTGTATTGAAGGTACATGCATGGGTTATTGCTGCTCCAATTTCACCTTTCCACTTGAATTGAAGTTGCCAGAATGCATTGTTTCCTCAGCACTGCACTAGTCAATTCTAGTAGTGGTTCAGTGTTAGGGTTCAAGCTGGGCTCAAAAATGTTGCTCAGTGCAGTTGTGCTTGAGCAAGCAACAAAGGAAAAGAGTGGTTCAGTCCTGATATGAAGTTGTTGGTTCCAGTTCATTTCTAAGGCAGTTAGCTCATAGAGCAGCATTTTTTTGAAGTGGGAGATGATGGGAAAACAATAAAGGTAGGTAATATCGCATCTACCTGGTAGAAAATGACATCATTTTTAGATATACTGTGGAATGGGACTGTATAGATGAAAGCAACAGGCCAAAGAAAACTTTGGCACACCCAAAATTCTGACAGGAAGAAAAAACCACTGGAGAGGTGCTGACAAGTTTTTTTTAGATCAAGTAGGAATGCAAAGGAAGTTAGGGTGATATTATCATGAAGGTGCGTTAAGTCCGGTACGTGTGGATGGAATGAATTAGTTATGCCAAAAGCTGTGGACAACTCAGACCAAAAGAAGAAAGTTGTCAGTTCTAATTACAACAGCAATCAAAGTACTCTATCATTAAAGGAGCTAAAAATGTTACTTTATCCCAGGATGTAAGTTTGTTTGTTTTTTTTTTTTCTTTTTTTTTATTATTTGAGCAAGATAAACAAGTTTTGAAATGTTCACCCTATCTTATTGATTTTCATTCCTTGTCCCTGGTTGATTTATTTCAAAATTTGTATCCTCCAATAACAACTGCCAAAGATGGGCAAGTCACAGCATGTTTGAAGTATCCTTGATTCAAATATATGGAACTGATTATGTGAGAATCCCAAAATAGGATTTTTTAAAATTAAACCTATATGAAACAAAATTTCAAATTCTTCATAATCCATTTTGGATCTACATATAGTGTAATTTATATTAAATGCAAAACTACATTTATGAGAAAATAAAATTAACTGTATTTTAGCCTTTCAGATCTGTAATAGTTACAATTTATTTTCTGATCTGCAGAACTGTATTTTTGCACATTTCAGTACAAGTAATTGGAATGGAGAGATTCATTGCAAGTCAATGAGTACATAATTATTTTCAGCAAATTTATCAGCTGTTTAGCAACAGAACTTAAATTTATAATGCAAAAGCAAATATGTTTGCTTAATATGTGCTCAGGTCACCAACGATAAAGGACATGGTCATTCGGTGCATTGCGCAGATGGTAAATTCACAGGCTTCAAATATTCGTTCAGGATGGAAAAATATTTTCTCCGTATTCCACCAAGCTGCTTCAGACCACGATGAACCGATTGTGGAGTTGGCGTTCCAGACTACTGGGCACATTATCTGTAATTGTTTTCTCTATTAAATGCTGTAGTACAAGTTTTGTTGGAACTCCTTTTCTAGAGAATTACTTTAGTTAAGCCTCACAGATAAATATACAAATTTATACATAAATCATAGTGCATTAAAAGCTCAAAGCAAGCGGCACAATTTAATTCAATATCTGAAAATGTTTTAATAGATGAAAATAGAACTGAAAATTGTCAATTAGTTCTGGCACTGTCTTTGTGGTTGAAATCTGTTGACAGCTATAGTGTGTCTAAATTAGACAGACAATGAGTGATCAATTATTCTTTTTGTTTGTTTGTCTCTTAGTGGATGTTTTTAAGAAGCACTTTGCGGCAGCCATTGATTCATTCCAGGATGCTGTGAAATGTTTGGCGGAGTTTGCTTGTAATGCTGCATTTCCTGACACCTGCATGGAGGCTATCCGACTTATTCGACACTGTGCAACATGTGTATCTGAGCGACCACAAGTGAGTTAATACCAATTAAAAAAGAATGAGAGACTCTATTTTAGTTTGGATCATTCATGATCTAAAGACATTCCAAACAGCTTTCTATTTAGTGCTACAGGAATTTTCGCAGCGAATTTGTATAAAGTAAGATTTCATAAAAGCAGTGTAATTATTACCAGATAATTTGTTAGAGATGTTGGTCAGTGATTGTAGGCCAGGAAACCAGGCAAAGTTTCCTTGATCTTGGAGGGGGGGGGGAAAAAGAGATTCCTACCAGATGTTTACATCCACCAGAGAGGAGAAATTGTTAAACATCTGAATCGAATGACTCTATCTCAAACAATGCAGGACTTCCTCAGTACAGCAATGGAGAATTTTACCCATATTTGTGTCTGGGGACTTGAACTTATGGCTCTTGACTCAGATACAAGTATGTTACCCTTGAGACATCGATAACAATACAATATTGCTGGCTTGCACTAATCTATCCCGATGTCAATTGTTAAACTGCTGCTATCAATCAAATTATTTCACATTGGGTTTATATTGTGAAATGTTATTTATTGTAATGATATTGTGCAAAGTTGTGTTAAAAATGCCACATGCAGATATTATCTAAATAATGAGCAACAAAACGGTAAATCTGTTTCATCCATCAATTCGGTAGCATTTTAAATGTTCAGACCTGTGATAGTCTGTTTATATATTGAATCATTTAGTGTGAGGCCTCCATGAATTGAATGAAGAAGCTCAGTCAATAGAAACTTGCACTTCTATGTTCCTTGAAAATGGTTTAATATTTGAAGAGCGTCACAGTAGTGATACTACAATTACTTTGGCAAAAAGCCACACTAAGAGATTTTGGGCTGGATCACCGAAAGCTTAGTCGAAAAGGTAGATTTTAACAATTGACTTTAAATCTGAGGCACATAGAGGTATTGGGAAGGAATCAAGTGGTGGACTAAAATTCCCAGAATGAACCACGGTCTAGGGAAAAAATTCTGCAATGCTCAATGTACACAAACCTGTGCATTAAAAGTTTCAATTAACCTAAAATTATTTCCCTTTTGATTATTTTAGATGTGGAAAGTAACCTTACTGGACAGTATCTTAGATTTGTACCAAACCTAGAAAGAATCCACTAGGACCTGGTATTTTAGCACTCCAGTCCCCACCCCCACATCTATGTCGGGATAGAAATAAATAAAATCACTAAAAATGACAAATGTTTTATCTTTATATATGTACATTGTGTGAGTTAAGTAAATTTTACTTAACTCAATAAAAATGACAAATGTTTCATGTACAGCAATTTTATTTATTGTAACCAGGATATTTTGATTATATGGATTTTATATTAGCTGATTAAATTTCAAATGTATTTTGTTAGGCACTGAAGGAATACACCAGCGATGACATGAATGTTGCTCCTGGAGATAGAGTATGGGTTCGAGGATGGTTTCCAATTTTGTTTGAGCTTTCCTGTATTATTAATCGTTGTAAATTGGATGTCCGTACAAGGTAAGAAACAGTTCCATTGTGATGCCTTCATTTAAACTGGAGTAGGTATGTTGCAACTATGATTTGTAGTTACATGTTTCATGTAATCTCTCTTTCAGAGGACTTACTGTGATGTTTGAAATCATTAAAAGCTATGGCCAAACATTTGAGGAACACTGGTGGCAAGATCTATTTAGGATTATCTTTCGGATATTTGATAACATGAAACTTCCGGAGCAGCAAACTGAAGTAAGGGAGAAGTAGGATTTGTACAAATTTTAAGTTGATCCTTTGTTGCACAGGATCTAGAAAAACTGGAAGTAATAATTATTTTGACAGGCTGCCAGTCAAAATGCTCTTGCACTTTGTTCCAGAAAACTTGAATAATGAAAGGAATAAACTTGATAGCAAGTTGTTATGACATGGAATTTACAACCTGAATATACATTCAACAGCTTCAAAAGGGAACTAGACAAATGAAGAGACAATATTTCCAGGGCAATGGTGCTCGTAGGAGTCTGCACACTGGGATGAATGGCCCCCTTCTGCATCATATAATGAATTCATGTTCCAACATAAAAACTGCAGTCTGTTTGCTGTATTCACAAATGATGGATTCTTTCTGAAAATTGCCCAAAATGCATATTTAAGCAGGGCAACTGCAGTATTTATCAAATATCTCTTAAATATATTTTGTTTCATCTACTCTAATTAATTAGCTAACCTGAGTGGATAAAGACATTATGCAGTCAAGTTCTGACTGTCACAACTTCAGAGCCCCATGTTCAGTCCATTATCTGCTGGTGTATGTGATATGGTTGACAAAATACTTTTTTTCTTTTTAAAAACTATCTCAACTATATTATTAAGTTTCACTGTTTCATTTTACAAAAGTATGTCTATTGTACAATTGAATGCTACATCTGTTTCTTCACAGAAGTCCGAATGGATGACAACTACATGTAATCATGCACTTTATGCTATTTGTGATGTTTTTACACAATTCTATGAAGTTTTAAATCATGTCCTATTGGATGATATATTTGCTCAGCTACATTGGTGTGTACAGCAAGGTAACCCATTTGTCTTTATTCAGGAATTATGTACAGGTCAACTTTTAAAATGTATTAAGAACCATTTAAATTGTCGCTTGGTAGTCCGGAACTTGAATATTGCTGAAAAAGAGACATGTTGCCAAAGCGTTTTGTATTGAACTCATCAGAATAAATACAAGAATGCCAAATTTCAAACATTCACAGCTATTTACACGAGACAATAATTGATTGGCCAAGGTTTGCTGTGGAGAATACAACAGAGAATTAAAGACTTCCAAACCTCCCTGGGTAAATCAAAACGTGTAAAACTTGAGCATGCGCCTTTTGATTGCATAGAACAGGTCCCCGCCTTCCACATGTACGTAAATGGATTCTAGCAAGAGTCACTGGGGTTGGGGGAGTCACTGCACATCAAGCATTGAGAGCAGTCTCCTTGCCTTAAAGAGCTACTTACAGGCTTTTTGAGAAATGAACTCCTTCTGTTGACATTGTTTTACATCACTGCTTTGCCATCTAAGTTCAGTGACTCTTGGACTGTACTTGGAATGAACCGTACAAGCTGTTTGTTTGGAATTTTATGATCTTGTATTTGTTCTGCAGATCACAAGATGAAAATCTTCAGTAATGTGTCTCTCAGCTTGTGATTTCAATGAAATTTTAGTTCAATATGCCCATTCATAATGCCTCTGAGATAGCTGTCTATTTTTCATGGGGCAAGTGGGACAGAGATTTTTTTCTTAAACCATCCTTGGCCTAATTAAATTTTAGTTTTGCTGACTGCATAATACTCTCTACTAGAGAAGATAAATGTTTAGTATTTTGACACCTTGAAACTTAACTTGATTTGAATGGGTGATGTAATACATTGAAATGTTTCTTGCAATTTTCAAGTGATTTTAATTTCTTTTCCTTGATCCTTTTCATCTCGTTATAGATAATGAACAACTTGCCCGATCAGGAACAAATTGTTTAGAAAATGTGGTCATACACACTGGTCACAAATTCAGTCCTTTAGTCTGGGATAAAACGTGTGCTTGCATGCTGGGCATTTTCAAGACCACTATTCCCCATGCGTAAGTTCAAGTTGCCATATATTGATATGACTATAAAAATTTTGTGTGCTTTTTCATATTCAACATTGAAAGTTTAACTGAAAAAATATGCTATAGCCATTGCATGAATGTTCCACATTTACTTTATATACCCAATCAATTATGGCCTGATGGCACCTCTACAGGCTTACCATGATTATCTGTTTTGTATTTACTATATAGCCTTTTAGCATGGCGACCCATGGGCATGGAAGAAGAATCTTCTGAGAAGAATTCAGTGAGTGTAATTTGAATCAAAATAATGAAAAGGCCTGAATGCCTAAAGGCTGCTTTTCTCTTTTTTTTTGCAAAAAGTGCTAGTTTTTCTGTTATAACTTAATGATGCATCTCATTGTTAAAGGACTTAGAAGTTGACCGTCAATCAGTCTGCAGTACAGAGCGAAACCTTTCTGAAAAAGGTCAAAGCCAGGTATCTAACACTAGTGATGAAATGTGGAAGAATAGACCACATGCAAGTAAGTTATATTTTTGTGATCCATGTTTTCGGTTTGTCTTTAAAATCCAAGCAAGATTTTCCTGAACAGTTGTAAAGTATTTATTTCTTCCAGCCGTGTATGAATAATCTTCAAATAGAAAGCATTGCTCCAATAACTATTAATAAGTATAAATTCCAGGTGAATCTTGCAAAAACTTTAGTGAGCCCTCTGCATAGAGTGAGGAAAAATAAATTAACAATCCCACTGCTTCTGCTGACTGTCTAATGACTCACGTCAGCACATGTACATGAATGGCATTATGTATTGTTTTTAAGCTGCAACAAAACATAATTTTGGGGTCTATAATCATATGGTTCTTTATAAATGTTAGATACGTGAACAGCCAAAATGTTGGATTTTTTGCGTATAATCAGGATACTGATTAATTGAATTTTCAAATCTCTTAATCTAGTATACTGTTCTAAATTTCATTCAACAGCAACAAAAAAGTTACTCAGCAACTTGGCTGTGCTGTAATGACCGACTGACTGTTTAGACCAAGTGTCAGCATGCGATTAATTTTCTTGAGTTTATGCATACTTTTTTCTTTGGTATGTGTGTTTTGCTAGCATTGTTGCTCATCCCAAAGTGCCCTTGCTGGACCACTTCAGAGCACAGTTAAGAGTCAGTCACGTATTGTCGTGAATCTGAAGTCACATGTAAATCCGACCAGATAAGAATGGCAGAAAGGACATTACTGAACCACAGATTTATACTCCAAACAACAATAGTTTCATGGTCAGCATTATTTGAGACTAGTGTTTATGATCCCAGCTAATGGTAATACTGATCCCAGAACAATGCCAGGCTTGATAAGCCATTGGTTTTATTTCGCAGTTGATTACATCATTGGTCAGTCACTGAACACAGTCACAAGGGGCTTCCACTATTTTAAACTTAATTACACACAAGTGAAAAAAATACAATTTACTTCACATAAAGTAAGAACCACTTACAATGGTGTTTTTATAAATATCTAAAACAAAAGTCAAAGCCTTTAATATGTAACAACAACCTTTGAGATGATCAAACCTCCGTGAAAAGTGACTCTGTTTGCATTTACAAGTTCCTTATTGATTGTGTATATCTGTACTTGTAATTTTTGGGCAAATATCTACATTCAGTTGATAGTCTTTAGTTAATGTCCCTTTTTGAGACCTTTCGAAATGTGTGCACGTCGAACGTATTACTTAGCATATGTTCTCTTACACTCATGCATTCACCAGCCTCGTCAGATGTTTTCTTCTCTGACACTTTTTAAAGCCTTTTGTTTCTGGAGTCTTTCTCTAACTTCTAAACCATCTAGGAGTCCTTTCCTTTGACTCTGACTGTTTTGGAGACCGGTAAGCAAATGACACCATTGTATGTTAACCACTGCTACTAGATATTTCTGTTTTCTGTGATACCAGACTCCTGTTGCTAAGCCGCAGTAGGTTTTCTTTGCTTCCATCCTTATTTCTGGAGCACTGAACTATTCACCTCGAGGGGATTTTAAAAATGCCTCCTTTAAATGCATGTGTACAAATTTCCAATTGACCCTTCACAATTCTCCAGACTGAAAAATGAAAATGAAACATTTCCTCTTCTAACCACGCAATATCGTGTCAACTGGAAAGTTGCTAATATAACCCCTCTGTTTAAGAAGGGAGTAAAGCAAAAGTCAGGAAATTACAGGCCGTTTAGCCTGACCTTGGTTGTTGGTAAGATTTTGGAGTCCATTGCAAAAGATGAGATTTCTGAATACTTGGAAGTGCGTGGTAAAATAGGGCAATGCCAGCATGGTTTCATCAAGGGGAGGTCATGCCTGACAAATCTGTTAGAATTCTTTGAGGAGGTAATGAGCAGGTTAGACCAAAGAGAGCCAATGGATGTTATCTACTTGAACTTCCAGAAGACCTTTGACAAGGTTCCACACAGGAGGCTGTTGAGTAAGATAAGGGCCCCTGGTGATAAAGACCAGGTGCTATATTGGGTAGAAGACTGGCTGTCTGGCAGAGTGAGAGGATAAAAGGGTCCTTCTCTTGATGGCAGCTGGGGACTAGTGGTTTTCCACAAGGGTCAGTATTGGAACTACAACTTTTCACTTTATACACTAATGATCTAGATGAAGGAATTCTGGCTAAGTCTGCAGATGATAAAAAGATAGGTGGAAGGACAGGTAGTATTGAGGATGCAGCGAGGCTGCAGGAGGATTTAGACTTGAGAAGAGTGGGCAAGGAAGTGGCAGATGGAACACCACATGGGAAGGTTTTAGATCATGCACTTTGGTAGGAAGAATAGAGGCATAGACTCTTTTCTAAATGGGGAGAAAATTCAGAAATCTGAAGTGCAAAGGCACTTGTGAGCCGTAGTCCAGGATTCTGTTAAGGTAAACTTGCAGGTTGACTCGGCAGTTAGGAAGGCAAATACAATGTTGGCATTTGTTTCGATAGGACTAGGATATAAAAGCAGGGATGTCCTTCTGACACTTTATAAGGCTCTGGTCGGACCACATTTACAATATTGTGGGCAATTTTGGGCCCCATATTTCAGGAAGGATATATGGGCCCTGGAGTGGGTCCAGAAGAGATTCACAAGAATGATCCCAGGAATGAAAGGCTTAACATGAGGAACGTTTGAGGACTCTGGGTCTACGCTTGAAGTTTTTAGAAGGATGGGGGGAATCTAATTGAAACTAACAGAATAATGAATGGCCTGGACAGAGTGGATGTTGGGAAGATCGTTCCGTTAGCAGGAGAAACTAGGACCCAAGGGCACAGCCTTAGAGTAAAGGGAAGACTCGTTAGAACAGAGATGAGGAGAAACTTCTTCAGCCAGAGAGTGGTGAATCTATGGAAGTCATTGCCACAGAAGGCTGTGGAGACCAGGTCATTTTGTATATTTAAGACAAGAGACAGGTTTCTTGATTGTTAAGCAAATCAAAGGTTACAGGGAGAGGGTGGGAGAATGTGATTGAGAAACTTATCAGCCATGATTGATTGGCAGAGCAGACTTTATGGGCCAAATGGTCTAATTTCTGCTCCTGTGACTAATGGTCTAATATAGAATTACAAATCAGACTTAATCTATACATGGTTCTGTCCACTTCAAGATTCAAGTTTTCAAAAAATAACTTTCACAAACATTCATCACGTTTTCAATTTTGTATGTTGTTAATAGAATTTAAATGCCACCAGCTGCCACAATAGGATTGAAGCCCATGTCCTCCAGGGCATTAGACACAACCTCTTGACTACATGTTTAGTGACATTACGACTGTCACAAGAGCATCAACATTCTTAATAGAAACTGACTTGTTCTCCTGTTAGCCCAAATAAGATTAGAAAAAGTTAGCAGTCGAACTGTTTTATCATATTATTCGGACAACTTAACAGTCTCCATTCTGTTGACAAAATGGAGTTTATAAAAGGATAAGTGAAACAACTACACCTGGCACAAAACTGATCCGATAGCAGAGGGCAGCAAATATATTAGAATTTCTTCACTACAACTGCCCAAATCCATGACCTCTACTACTAAAAAGAATAAAGGCAACAAGTGCGTGGGAAAGCATGAGATGCAGGATTCTGTTAGTCATGTATTAAAAGAATATCTCCATCCCTTTATTGCTGTCCGGTCAAAATCCTGAAATACCCCACCTAAGTCTACCAACACCACAATGGACTGCAGTTGTTCAAGAAGGCTGCTCACTTCCACCTTTTCCAGGGAAATTCGGGACAGGCAATTAATATTGGCCATGTCAGCGATGTGCAAATAGACAAATATGGAACAAATGTAAAGGTGTATCAGGCCAGCCCTTGATATTGAGTGCATTACATTGGATAACTTGCAAATTTTCTGTTTGGTAATCTTGTACAGCAGGAATGTTATTACCGTTATGTGCTTTATCAACAACCCACATCGAGACATGAATGATAAAATATACATTTAAAATTTTAGTGCCCTTTTTTTGATTCAATAATTTTGCTCATTTTTCCAAGAAATATCTGATCAGAAACTCTTTGCTGCCCTCCTCATCAAGTGTGTCGTGCAGCTGGAATTAATCCAAACAATAGACAACATTGTGTTCTTTCCAGCAACAAGCAAAAAGGAAGATGCTGAAACTATGGCAGCCGTACAGGTAAAATAACCTATTTGCCTACAGAACTACTTTATAATATTACATGTTGCTAATAATTGTTAAAACTTCAATCAAATTCTTGCTCCTTGCTATACTAATCTAAATGATCTGAATGAGAGAATCTTAATATCTTTGTAAATTGGTGCTTTCTCCACTCTGGGCCAAGAAGCGAACTGTTTATGTATCTGGTAAGTGATATGACACCCAAACTCTGGGTGAGGCTATTTGTTATGGCTGGTCTGATCGCTAGTCCGCTGACTTCTACCACTGAGTGAGATAGGGTCTTGTATTCAACATGACCTGTTGTGACCTTCACTGCATGCTAATGCTGAAACTTGGGCTGATACATATGACAGCATTCAGTCCCGCTTGCACACTTTGCGATTTGAGACACAATCAGCAAGGAAATCGCTTGCTGTTGAGTGAGGGATTATCAGTTTGTTGTTACCATTGTAATCTCAAAAAATCCAGTCCATTTGGTTTTGAATTACCTTTTACTCATTTTGAAGTTGTGGACATTTGAGGGATTATTTCAGAATATGCAGTAGATATGCGTGCATGCACACACACACATTGCCATTCTTACTCAGTCTGGTCTATGTAGGTTTTTCATGACAATTGGCTATGATTTCATGGTCATCAGTTGACTCTTAATTCCAATTCTTTTTTTAAATTAAATTTGAATTCCACCATCTGCCATGGCATGATTCCAGTGAGGGTCTCCAGAACATTACCTGGGTCTCTAGGTTAACATGAGAGAAAGCTAGCTGGAAACAGAAAAACAGCAAATATTTCTATCAACATTTTAAATAGTTAACGCTGAGATTTTTCATTATTTGCAAAGTTGCAAATGCAACTGATGCTGCAGTTATTCGTGATTAGCCCCACTTCTAGCCTTTTATAATCATGGGAATTTAATTAATGAAGCAGCTGAAGACGATTTGGCCAAAGACACTGCCCAAGAAATTTCTACAGCAATACCTTGGGCCCATACAATTGACCTCCATCAAACATAACCATTGTACTTTGTGCTAGGTATAACTTGAGCCAGTGGAGAGTTTTCACTGATTCCCATTGACTTCACTTTTTTTCTTATGGTTCTTTGGTGCTTTACTTAGGTAAACATTGTCTTGATGTCAACGGTAGTCACACTTGCTCTCGTCTCTGGAATTCAGCTTCACATTTAAACCAAAGCTGAACAGAGGTTTCAGCCTGAGTAGTGAAATACAAATTGAGCATCTGTCAGGAGGAGATAGTCAACAGAGACTAGGTATTTCCTCACTTCACCAGGCTAATTTGAAATCTAAATCTGACTTTTGTTTTATTCTTTCACGGGATGAGGGTGTCGCTGGCCAGGCAGCATTTATTGCCCATCCCTAATTGCCCAGAGGGCAGTTAAGAGTCAACCACATTGTTGTGGGTTTGGAATCACATGTAGGCCAGACCAGGTAAGGACGGCAGTTTCCTTCCCTGAAGGACATTAGTGAACCAGTTGGGTTTTTCTAACAATCGACAATGGGTTCATGGTCATGATTAGACCCTTAATTCCAGTTTTTTTTTTAATTAAATTCAAATTCCACTGTCTGCTACGGCAGGATTTGAACCCAGGTCCCCAGAACATTATCTAGGTCTCTGGATTGACAGTCCAGAAATAATACCACTAGGCCATTGCCTTCACTAGGAAAATATGAAAAGGACACATTATATTTGTTATTGGAGCAAGTACAGACATGTCATGAATCTATAATCAATTGTTTTTATGTACAGAAGGATTCAATTGATGCTGACATTCATATAGATACTCGAGACCAAGGAATGTATCGATATATGACTTCACAGCAGCTTTTTAAACTCCTGGATTGTCTATTGGAATCTCATGCATTTGCAAAGGCTTTCAACTCAAATAATGAACAGAGGACAACATTATGGAGAGCAGGTAAATACACATTTGCAATTTAGAATGAAACTCCATATCTTAAGTTTGAACAAGCTGCATTAATCTACTTTTCCCTGATATATTGCACTTGAACAGTAACATTTCATTTCACCCAGTTATAAATAAAGTGGATTTAATTCAGTCAGAACCTCACTAAATGCACCCAATTTTATAAAACAGCAATGGAACTATATGGGTGTACTTCAAACCCAAACTTAGTAAATTCTGCAGGATCTGGTTTAGCCTCATAAATTTAGCTTTTGTTTTAATCTGATTTAATTAAACTCCATTTGCTCCATTGAACTTGGCTACTCGTTTGCTAGCATTTCACACTTGAAAGTAAAACTCATATCATTTGGAATGTCGTCAGCATGAACGGTTCTGTGTCCTAAACAAACATTTTGTAATTAATGTGGAGAACTTGGGGAAATGGGTGATTTGGGTTCTTTGGCACAGCCATCCTAAATGTTTGGATTAGGCATCGTATTGAGAGCATGAATTAGAGATTTATATTCAACGTGTTCTTATGAAGGAACGTTGAGCAGGTTACTCGACATCCCGCTGAGTTGACAGACTCTCAGAATGCAGACTAACTTTTCAAGAAACAGCAACAATTTTAGAAGAAGTAACTTTTGTAATAGTGTGACAAAAATCTCTTTCACACCATAGCTGCAGGTTTAATTTATTGGACAAAGTGAAGATGAACACAGGCCCATTACAAATTTATAATTTGGATTTGTACACTAATGCTGCCAAACCTGCTCAGTTTCCCAGGACTTTGTTTTTATTTCAGATTCATGATATTTTGCACAATTTGCAAGTTGGCATATGCTTTGGATTTCTCCCCTTTTCTGTAGGGAGATTTTGTAGTCATTCAACACTCCATCCTCAATCCCACAGATTGCACTTTTTTGATGGATCAATCATGCCTAGCGCACATCTAATTCAAGGCAAGTCAGTTTGGTAGAACCGAATGCTTTTGTGGAAACTGATTTTTTAAATGGCAAAAAATGACATTACACAGGGTTCTGGATACAACATAAAATTGGTTACTTAGTATCCGACAGTACTAAGTATGAATTTTGAAGTGCTTTACTTCTTGTTCCAGGATTTAAGGGCAAATCTAAGCCTAATCTTTTAAAGCAGGAAACCAGCAGTCTTGCCTGTTGTCTTCGTATACTCTTCCGTATGTACACAGATGAAAATCGGCAGGATTCTTGGGACCAAATTCAGAAACGACTATTGAAGTATGAGAATTTTATTTCTGGCACTTTTTGTTTGTAACAAAAGCTAAGCAAGAATTGAGGAGCTCTGTTGTAAATCATGCAGCATATGACTTTCATGCATATGTTCACATATGTGTTGTGCTATAAAAGTTTCTTCAGTATTTTATACATTTAACAATACTAAGATGACTATTTTATGTACATCCAAAGGCAAATGCTTTGGGCTTTTGCCTGAATTAGTGAAAATGCTTTTATTTTAATTTCGTTTGACTTATTTATACCTTGCTTTATGGCAACAGTAATCAGAAGTGGCTACACTTGACTTTCTTTAAGCTACATCGAATACACATCCAAAACTGGCTGATAGGTGCATGCCTCAAAAATACAGTTTAGTTCAACATGTTTTTGATGTTCAAAGGTCAATTGCCACCATTCCCCTGGGATCATAAATTACTTAAATAAGATGGGTGATGGTATTCACCTCATTTTATTTAATCTTTAAACACAATCCCATATTCTGAAACATGAGCAGAAAAGTTTACAGGCTTGGTTTGAACAAGAAAATGGAAGCCTGTTACACAAAAGAAATGAATATAACATGAACTAAACTAAGCTATCTAAATGTATAAGAAAGTAATGTAAAATAAACTATGTACATATAATAGTTTGCAAAATTACAAAACACATGGCAAAACAAAATACCATCATTTTACACTTTCTCAGAAAACCAGAGAAATTTCCCTTCCCTTCCAACTCTAGGTTTGATTTTAACTGCTTCTCAATCCCAGTCCTGAGAGCAATGAAGCCTTTTCCTTTCACATTGACAACTTAAGAATTAATACAATTATTTGTACCTTGTTTCTAATAATTGGGCTGTTAACTGGAGCCTGTTTTTGATGACCTTCTGTTATCTTCAAGCTGGCTAATGTACCTAATTGTATATTTACTTAACATTAACCCCCTTGGTCAACATTGTAGCACAGCACTATTTTTCCGTCTATCCAATGGTGTCACTTTTTCAGCAGGTATAATTCTTTTCTACATCATTAATACCTGTTTCAAATTCACTTTTTAAAATAGTTGACTTACTCATACCCTGTACTGTATTCACTGAAACTAATGAACAAACTAACAGTCCTATACTGTTCACCAAAACACACAATACAGATTACAGAGATGTCTTCCCATATGCAACATGACATCTGACATACCTGCAGTGCAAACTTTACAGTCTTGAAGATACAGTGCAGGTTGAAAACGTCATCATTATGGCCTGTACCTTTAGCATTGAAGATGCCTTTCAGGCCTTTTTTCATTTTCATAAACTTTTTTTTTTAAATTTTGCTCTCAGAAACTGCAGATAAATGAATATTGAAGGTAACTTAGTGCACAGGATGCTTCATGTGGACTTTAATCATTTCTACTTTTGGGCAAGTTTTTTGTTCATTTAGACCTGTCTTTGAATTTAACCAATTCCCTTTCTTGTGAATCTTTGTCTCTTTTTATTTCAAAGTTTGGGTACATTTTTATACAGAGCCCACTTGTGATCTTAATTCCTCATTAATTCAAGTTGGTGGTTATTTACTATATTATGAAGTGTGTTGATTATCAAACATAAAATGTGTGAAATTGATTGATTGAGGCTGTAGTCATCTGTATATATTCATGCTTTAGGTACTTAACGTTCCAAAGGACTCCCTGCTGATCTCCCACATTTTGCGCTCTATAAAATTCAGATTACAAAACTCATAGCCCTCTGATATATCTAGGCTGTTGTAATTCTGGCTTTTTATGTGTTGCCTAAGTCCTGAGTTCCTTGATTCCCTTCCCTACACTGCTCCACCTCTCTCTCTCATCTTGGTCCTTTAAGAGATTCCTTAAAACTACCTCTTTGACCAAGATTTTGGTTACCTAACTCAGTATCTCCTCATGTGGCTGATGTCATACTTTGTTTTCTGTTCTTCTGTTGTGAAGAACCTTGTGATATATTGTTAAATTGATGATGTTATAAGGTGCTACAGAGGAAGTAATATTTGAAGTGAACTCTTGGATGACCTAGAAGGTAATGTAGCCGCATTTCCAAAAGATGCTTGATACTCAAGAAAGATTATGAAAATTGTTGCTATCAAAGTAATTAATTTCTTAGCAATCATTCATGGGATAGGGGATGGTGGTTATTCATCTGTGTTCTCCTGAGTACATGGTGATGGATGTTCTTCTCCCTCGCTGAAGAGTAGATTGGTAGGCTATTTCAAAGGGCATTTTAAAGTAAATCTCATTGGAATTAGACTGGACTCGCATTCCAAGCTAAACTGATAAGTCCAGCAGATCTTTTTTCCTAAAAGAACATTCACGACCCAGTTGGGTTTGTAAAGCAATTTATTAATTTCCCAGTGAATGTACTGATACTAAAGAAACTGATTTCAAATGCTGGGATGGTATATTTCACATGCTTTCCCTTTTTTGAGTATTAGAAGGAAGTGATCATCCAGAATATTTCTTATCTTGTGTGTATTTTTTGAATGCCATTCGTGTCTTTTGTGGCTTTTTGTCTTGGAGCAACCTCTCAATGTTGCAGCTTTTTGACTTTTCATTTTGTGTGCAACCTAGTCTAATCCTATTTTATTCTGTGGATAACACTGTTCGAAGACAGATGTCTTCGCAAGGTAGAGATCATGTTTGTTTTACAGGATAAAATCCAAGTGAGTAGTTATAACCACGTACTGTTAGAGAATTACACAAATTTATAGAAGACTTTACCCAGGGAAGGTTATGTTAATATTTGTCAGTTTTTCAATGGTCACTTCATAGAAAACTTTGTTTTTCACCAGGGTTTGCAGCGAGGCCCTTGCCTACTTCATAACACTGACGTCTGAAAGTCACCGTGAAGCGTGGACAAACTTGTTACTGCTTTTCCTCACAAAGACTCTCAAAACTAGTGATGAAAAGGTATGGATAAAACTTATTTATTTTAATGTCTATCTGCTTGAAAGAGTTAAGTAAGTCCTTGTTTTATCTGTAATTTCTCTGCGGTTCAAAAAAAAATCTGTAGAGAAATAAGGAACAGTCACAAATTAAGTCTCATTCAAAATGTCGGTTGGGGTCTTTTGAAGTCCAGCAGCACCACCTGTAATTATTGAGAACCAATATAATTCTTGGTAACCACATTCATTTCAGTGAACATTTAACAGGCTTTATTAAACTTAAGAATTTGCAAGGCACCCTAAGAAAGGATATCCTTCTGGAACCTTACAGACTCAGGCTCAAGTTTCATGTCTGTTGACATCACAACATAACTACTGAGCATGTGCATAAGGAACTATTCTTTAAAGTAAGTGTAATTAGCTCTTTACGTCAATCTCCCACTCAGGTCTCTTATGGCATCCCTTTTAGCTGTTAACATTTATCTCTTTACTCTCACTATTCCCCCACAAGTCATCTCCTTTGCTTGAAGCATTCATCTCCCAATGCATTCTCAACTCTCTTGCATGTACGTGCTCCCTCATCATTGTCTAGGAAGGTGAGGGCAGGTGTGTAGTGGGATACCAGCTTCTCTGTGGACATTATTATTTCTGTAACTCTCATCAGAATATAAGTGCATCATCATCATCGATATGGAATTAGTCTCTGGACCACGATCAATTAAAAGTTGCTGCATGGAGTTGCAGACTGGATGAAAAATAGGTTTGTTGGCCAACATATTTCTAAGCCGTTTTTCAAAAGATCACTGTCATTTGCCTGGTGATTTTTATCTTGCACGAGGGCTTACTACTACATTACGTTTGTCTGCAAACTTAAATGAAGAATTTTTTCTCGTTCTGAAGGTTTCCTTTTTCAAATGTGAGATCATCATTCATTAATTGTTTTCCTTTGATAATACTTCACTGTGATCTTTTGAGTATGCAATATTTCTGTATTAGAGAGACTTCTTCCTCCTTTTGAGGTGTCTGTGTTGTGTCAATTGCTTAAGAACACTGGCCATGTTTGCACAGGATTTTTGGAAATCTTGTGATCTTTCAGTCTTGCATTGTGACACATGACAGGCTTTTAGTCAAGAGTCTCTGAGGTAGTTAGACTACTACAATTTTTGTATAACTTTGATTTGATTGAGCTCCTTTTTAAGCTTCTCCAAGGTACTCTAGTTCTGAAAGGTCTCGATTCTGTGCATGCTTGTTTACTTGAGTGCTTCTATGGCTTCATGATAGGACTCAATTGCAGATTTTAGCGGGCTGTTTTGTTAAGAATGTCTGAATGCTTGAGGCTCAATTTGAGCTGCTGGACCTGGGAATGGGGCATCTGCAGTTTGTTGTAGGGTAAGTGTGCTTAACCACCACAATGTCAGGTCTTTTACTGTTAGCTGAGTTTCCTGGAACTTTGCCAAGGTTCTGGTCATACCTAATGGGTATTAAGATGCAGTAAACAGCAACTTGACCTTTTAGGATGTCGGTATTTTGTACTTCCATGTGGTGTGCTGGCCTTTATTACAGAAAAGAATTAGTTCATCTATTTGCACTAGCTAGTATGCTGCTGCAGCTGTTGTATGTCCTTAGTAAGGTCTATGGTTATCTTCTTCAACAAAAGGATGACTCCCCTTAACAGATGTCAGAACCTTCACAAAATGAGCTGACTTCTGCTTTTAAATTAACAGGAAGACTGAAGCTTCATTCCAACAAGGATCAGTTGGCTCACTTGGTTGGTCTGTAATGTAGCGTGACACCAACAGCACAGGTTCAGTTCCCATATTGGCTGAGATTACCATGATGGGCCCTCCTTTTTAACCTCTTCCCTTGCCTGAGGCATGGTGACCCTCGGGTTAAACTTGCCATCAGACGACAAAAAAGCAGCGCAATGGTCCTCCGGGACTGTGGGAACTGTACTTACTTTCTGTACTATTAGTTCCTGAAAGAGATTGCCCTCTTGTAGCAGATGACCTTTGAGCTTTCTTTATTAATATTTTGAGCCACTTTTTTGAGAGAAATTAAGAGTCTCTTTGTATGCCTGGGGCTGGAGTGCCCGTAATGGGAAATGATCCCTGGTATCTTGAGTCGATTCCAATGTCACCATTGTCTGCAAACTGAAGAATGTTTAAAGCTACACATGCAGTTCCATTTAATAAAGAAGTATAATGATTATAAATGACACTTAAGGATTTCTAAGATCTCTGTTCCATTGGTGCTAAGTGTAACGTGTCTGCTGTCTAATTCTGATTTTAACTCCACATAACTCAATGTTGAATGGCAGATGGTATGAGAATTTTGACCATCGACTAGCATCTGGATGTATCAATATATCTGTATGTTCCAATTATATTATGTTAGTCATTTAACTTTGATATGACAGCCTAGAATTCATTTTGTAGGCTTATGCAAGCAAGGATGAAATCGTGCAGTGGGCCTGCCACATCCTTCAGGAAGAATTATCCTGTCCCTCCATGTCCTCTACTGCTGTGACATCCACAGACTGTTTATAGTCTGTCTAACTTCTGTGCTGTCAACGCAGCTATAACATGGTCTGTCTTGGCAAATGGGTCACTCTATAAAACTGGGCTGAGTTTCTGACAGTGGCGTGCCTTAATCACAACAACTGCACAATCTTGTTTTGTGCTTACTGTTGACAAATTTTCGACCTGCTTATTTCTTTCCCCATTCCTGCAAACCTCTATGTACTGTTTTAGTCCTGTAGACAATTGCTTTTGCTGAAAACTTGCTGCATTCCCTACTGAAGAAGGGTCTAGGCCCGAAACGTCAGCCTTCCTGCTCCTCTGCTGCTTGGCCTGCTGTGTTCATCCAGCTCTACACCTTGTTATCTCGCATTCCCTACTGTGTTCTTTCTCCAATGCTTTAACTGCCTTTTATGCAAGCGGTTCCCTCTCTGGTTCGGGACGAACCTTTTAAAATCCTGATGCTTGCTGCAGTCTGTTACCTTAGGAGAAGTTCAGCAGCATTTCCTCACTTTTGTGTTTGGACTGCTGGACTGGTCTCCTTCACCTGCATCGCTGCACCACTGATGAGCTTTGCTTGAGGTGATTGTTACCACTTGCTTCACAGTCTGACAATATGGCCAATGACTGCCACCATGTGGTTATGAGGTCTACATTCATTTAAATGAACATTACAGGCTTTAATAAACATAATTACTTAAGATATGGGAGTGTGGGCTTTGATACCTGTTCTTGAGTGATCTGAAATCACTAATGATACGGCTGCTGTGCACGTATGTAAGGAGCTATTCTTAAAGTAAAAGTATGATTAACTCTGCAATGAATCAAAAAGGCTAATATTGAAGGTGAGTAGCAGGAAAGGAAATGAGACAGCCAGCACAAGCAGGATGAACCAAATAGCCTCGTTTCATTTATATAATTCCGAATTGTTAATTTCTTTTATTTGCAAAGAGCAAACTTCTATGAAGCACTGTTCAAGTTGATTTTCTGTTACTGTTTTTTGCCATCCGTTTTTCCAGCGGGTTTTATGTCCCTATTCTTCCTGTTCAAGAATTCAATTTTGGGGTAAGCACCCGTGGTTAATCTTGAAAGTGATATTGATGCATGGCTGTGTCAGAACCAAATCTGAACCTGTTACCCTTAGTGTACACACATTTTTGATCTGAATTACTAGACGACAGATAGAAACCCCATCCATCTGTTTGTTTTTCTTCATTTGCATTGTTGCTGGTTAACTAAATTCAGTATACAATAAAACTTCTAAATCAGATTCAAACTGGTTGAGTGTAATGTCAAATGCTACACTTGTTAACTAAGCTATTGCTTGAAGGAATGTTATTGAGAATAAGTTGACATAATTATAGCCACAGATGTTGACACCTGCAGAAAAATAATTAGAACATCTGAAGGATAAAACCAGTTGAAACCAAAAATGAGTAACAACATTGGGAAAAGTGCCCTTAGGTGTTGTGATTTGAAGTGATATGTTGAATACGATACCAGAGTTGAATAAGATACCAATGTTGATCTGTAAATTTTACAGCCACCTAACTTGTAAGAATGTCATCGTGAATCACTGCCAGACTGAGCTGCTGGAACATTTGATCCCTAGGGTGCAAATTTTAGTGCATTACATTTGTAAAAATTAAAATACTTACTCCTACAGTCCATGCCTCTGACATTTTGATTTTGTTTTCTTTGAAGTTTAAGATCCATGCATCAGCATACTATCCATACTTGTGTGAAATTGTACAGTTTGACCTCATCCCTGAACTGAGAGCAGTTTTACGCAAGTTCTTCCTACGCATCGGCTTTGTATTTCAAATCTGTTGTTCAGAGGATCAGCCACAAGAAGATACTACATAACAAAAAATCAGCATGCATTTCTACTCTAAGTCTGTAAATTGAGCCTCTGTAAATGTAAATGTATTACCTGTTGTAGTCAAAGAAAATATTAACTTTTGGAGCTATTTTTGAACATTATATTAGATAAGCCCAACATCAGTGATGTGTAGCTTGTATAATTTCCTGACTCCTTGTGTATTTCTATAGTTTGTTTTTTTACTTCTGTTTGTCTTAAAGGAATGTCTGCTTTGTTTCTACTATGTCTTTAAAATACCCACTTAACCATTTCAGGGACTTCAAATTGTTATGTATGCCAATATTATGGGACACAAATATTTACTGTTTTAAGACAGTAGAGGTAAATATATTGTTGGACACGGTACAGTGTAAAATGAAGTCTTTAATATCACAAAAATGTAATGGTTTCAGTGCTTTTAATTAGTAACTGTTCAACCAAGAAATCTATAATTTTGAATTACAGTTGTGATGTGCCAGAAGCACAATAACATTATTTGCTTATTGTGAGAATGTTGGTAATTGAAAGGTGCAGAGAATTTGAGACAAAAATGGCAATTTTCAATATTTCCTCATTGTACAATTTTAGTTTTGTTTTGAGTGAATGTGGTGAAGCTCAGATGTTTTGATTTCTGCTTGCAGAGATGCTTTGGAGTTTACACATTCCATTCCCCCCTTTAAATTATGACAATAGATCTTAGAAAAGCACAATTATAAATTTGCAGTAAGGGAACAATATTAATACCTTTTGAGAATGAAGCTTGATTTCAACTTGGCTATTCTAGGACAGGGAAAGGAACTTTACAATATACAGATTATACAAAATCTGTCCCATCTGGCAAAATTTCTTAACTGTGTTGCTCTGAATAGCCAGGGAAATACAATCCTATTTTTATCTCTTAACGAAGGGTCCCTGAATCCTGTAGCACCTCCAGGCCAAATCCTGCAGTATGAATGTTCGTTGTGTCTCGAACCTATAGGATTTGTCAATATCTCAATGTAATTATTTTCATAAAACTATACAAAAGCTGTGCTTTATGCTCGTTAGGGAAACTACATGTTTAACCAATGAAAAAAGTTAGTTGTGCTTAGTCTCTGCTCCCTCACAACAATTATTACTTAAGACATAGCCTGACTTTGCGCAATATATTAACTAGCAACTAGATATTAAGCAGTATATAACAAGTAACTAGTAGATCAATATCTTATGTTCTGAATTGTAATTTTGTTCACTGACACTAATGTACATGCCTCCACTGATGGGTAGCTTGTTGATTTCCTTGGATTTCATGTCCCACAATTTATCTGTTAAAGTCCTGTGAATTTCTTAAAAACATGTTTTGAGCAGATTTTGATGGGTCCTTTTAATACTGCTGTGACCTAATCATAAAGTGCAGGTGTTAGAAAGCCTGTAACAAATTTAACAAATTTGCAGCATTTAACAAATCTGGCAAATTTACATTGGGCTTGCTGCAATCTTGAGACCTGTGTTTTGGGAACTGACCATGTAGAAACTTCACTGGTGCCACGCCCTATACAAACTGCATGTAAAACAGACACTTGATACTTACTACAATTTAAACTGTATGCAAATTTGGTTTAAAAAAAACTATTAAGCACTGGCATAGGAATGATGGTAAGAAGATAAAAGGCATTTGACTTAATTATTAGTATCAGTTGATCAGATAGTGGTTTCAGTATGTTTACATTAGAGATAACTTGAAAGAAAATAAAGAAAATCCATGGTGATTGACTTCCTGTGAAGTGTGAATTCCCACAAGCCTTTCTCTTGTTTCCGTTTACGCCAGTATCAGTAACATGCCAATCTCTTCAAAAGCAAAGAACCATTTTTATAAAAGCAGTAAATGATGTAAAATGCTTACCTAAAAGGTTGTTTAATTTATATCTTAAGTGCAAGGAAGTATTCTATTTATACGCAGAATAGCGACTCTTTATTGAAGTCTTGAAAATATTGATTTGCTCGAAGATTTGTTTTAGCACCAATGATCTTAGTCGAGAAGTGTGAAGTCATACTGAAGTGCAGTTGCACAAGCACTATTTGCACTTTGACTGAGAGCCATTACAAATATGTGAAACAACTCAGTGGTCATCAGATTATTTGACCATGATGAGTATTGTAATCAAGCTAGAAACAATGTTGTCACTGCCCTGGCTGAGAGCACACTTCTTGTGGATTGAAGATTCAATCTGGGATTTCCTGGTCGTCTTTTATCTCTGATCTTTTGAGACAGCTGTGGTGTAAACATATATAAATTGACACTGTTGCTTCAATGATTCACCAAGTATAACTTGGACAAGCCACCAAGCTGAAAATTTTATTGCAATAAATGTGTATAATAATTCAAATGTTGTTATTTACCAGATATTTGAGCAGTTCCTAGCTGGCTGTAACACCTCAGGATAAGCTTGACCGCTCCATGTTGTCTGGATTTACATTTAACACAGTGAGATTGTTAGGATAGTTTTAACTTATGACTATGTGTTTGCTGATTGAACGTGCTCTGTGTTGATGAGTGAGGACATCAACACAAAAATGAAGATTGTGATGTAATAGAAAGGTTTTCTAAGTCAATAGGTCTAAGAAATAATGATAAAATGTCTCAAATTATATGGGAATTAAATGGGTATTTTAAATGGCTTCATTTGTCATATGTGCTGTTGGCTTGACCATCAATGCAAATTCTTCTATATAGTAACTTTCTAAAACACCATGTCAAAAATTATACTTCCAAATTGTCTAAAGGTAAAAATGAAAGATTGTGCTGTAGTACTAAATTTATTTTCCACAGAATATACATAAATACAATCAACATTAGAGTTCGTCATCGAATTTTTGCTTAGCTAAAATCCTGCTACTTTTTTCCTGATTCTTGCTTTGTTTGACTTTGTTTTAATGGTATGGGTAGTGGCCACATAATTTGTTTTTCTTTTAATAATCAGGTAATTTAGATATGAATGTAATGATTGACTGAAAATGGCAGCAGTACATTCAATAATTCTGTTCAATTTTATACTTGCGTGGTATGTCTAGCAATGACATTTATAACCAATGGAAAAGCTTTTACCATGTAAATGTGCAGGCTTATTTGCTTATAGTTCGAGAATTAGTTTGTTAACGAGTTCCATGAGCCTTTTTTTACCCCAATTCCTGCAATTGGTTCACTTAAACAACTTATGAACTTTGTAAGCACTAGAATAGCATGCTGACTTGCAATATCTTGCAAAAATGTAGCTACTGCTGCTAGTCTCGTGCGATCGTGGTAGGCATGCGATGCTCACCACCTGCAGTGTAACCACCTGAATAAGCCCCAGTTTTCACTTAGAAAGATTAACACTAATGCAGCCAGGCGTGCTTTAATTTTTTATGTCGATTTGTCTCATTGGCTTTTCTTAATCAGCAAAATTGTTTGCAGAACTTGCTGTTTGTTATGGAAAATGAGGTGTTGCTGCCTATTCACCATGCTGTTGGATGGTGGAGCCATCGTTCCTCATTTTCAGTACTGTTCTGAGGCTATTGGAGATGCAATGTAACCTCAGCCAGGCACCAAGTACTTTGACCTCTGGATAAAACATATTAGCACTTTCATGATTTGATTGTCTAGTGGTACTTATGCAATCATAGTCTCCAACTGAATGAACACTGGCTATATTTTGTTTATAATTTAGTTTTGAATGTGAGTTCAAGTATTCTGTGCAACCAAAGCAGGATAAAATGATGAACATGTGACAGTTGCATTTCATGTGAATGTACTCTTGTATCATAGGTTGTTACCATGGTCTCCTTGTGTATTCTCGCCAGCAAATGACATTTTGTACATTGATCGAGCATCATTGCATTAATCAGTGTTGCATTTGTTGCTCCTCACTGCTCCTCACTGCTCCTAAAGACATTAATAGTTGCCTCTTGTAGCTCAAAGTGGGTGATGTGAAATCATAAGTGTTATTCCAGTCCTCACCAATATGTGTATCTGTGACTTTTCAAGGTGGGATCACTGAATCGTGATCCAGGCCAGGGTCTCTTTCTTTCCCTATCCAACAACTACAATAAGCCCCTTGACTGTCTGCAGTTGTGATCACCTAACTTTTTAATAAAAACAGAACCTTGCTATTTTACATGACTTAGTACCAGACCAGGTAATGTCTTTTCAATGAGTCCTCAGGCACGACTCTTCTCAGGTTATTTCATTTGAGAATTCCCATTTGAAGAAATAGCACATTCCAGGCTGTAATGTCAAAAGAAATCTTTGCCACCCTAATTTAAATAAGTTTGATTGCTTGGATTAAATTTTTAATTTGGAATTGTAGTCATGTAGTATGAATTCATATGCTAGATGAATAGTTATTTTTCTGGCACCATTGAAAGTATAAAAAGAGCGCTTTAGTTATTACCCCAGAAATTCAGTTAATGGAAACAATATGTCCATGGTGTAAATTAAAAAGAATAACTAAATCCTGAAAATTTGAACTGATAATTACCGTATCCAATCGTAACTCCATTTTGATGTACTATTTGGACTGCTCGTATGCAGAATGTTACGTTTACATATTTAAGTTCCAATACGTTTATGGAGACGATGTAAAAGTAATTATTCATAGGTTTTACGAATGATATATATAACTGTGAAGTGCATTTAAAAATACATTATAATTTAAAAGCATTCTTTGCCACTGTGGATGTATAAATATTTTGGAAAAACAGATCAAATATATAAGAAATAACTATTGTAAAGTTTTCTATTTCAAAATATTCTGTATAATACTAATTGGAATAAGATAATCCATTAATAAATCAATGAGGTTTTACACCTAAGTTGCTCACTACAGTTGATGAAAACTCAATTATTTGCACTAGTGTGCTTCTAAGTGTATGTGATAAGATGATTTATGTGACAGATTATAAAGTTATTGCCGATTCCATCTGTGTTTGACAAGTTTCTTGAGTTTTGAATTTCCACAGTCTGTAACTTCATGACCTGTCATATCCCTCCCACCTGCATTACCAACGATCCTGATTGAATAAATGTAAGCTTGCACCTGGCATACCTAAGATAACAAGATGTGGAGTTGGATGAACACAGCAGGCCAAGCAGCATCAGAGGAGCAGGAAGGCTGATGTTTCGGGTCTAGGCCTGAAATGTCAGCCGCCTAGCTCCTATGATGCTGCTTGGCCTGCTGTGTTCATCCAGCTCTACACCTTATCTCAGATTTTCTAGCATCTGCAGTTCCTACTATCAGCTGGCATACCTAAATGTGAGAAGCCAACCGAGACACGATGACTCTATACTAAGCAGCATTCAAGGCAGTTAAGAAACCCCTCAAACAGTAGATCAGAAAAATTCAGCAGTTTTCCAACATTCAGTCCTCATTGGTCCTGGAAGTTGATTAACTGGCAGAGGGTCTAGACATACTTGTTTCCAATGATGATGTGCCCAATATGTCCTTTAAAACAGCTAAGGCTGAACATGTTAAGTGGATGATCCAGCTTAACCACCTGAGGTAGAGATCATCATAACTAATTTTCAGAAAATGCAATTTCCCCCACATGGTAGCAAGATATATCTGAATACACTGGAGACTCTGCTGTGGTACTGAGTATTTGTGTTCCAAAATGACCGTTGCCCCAAATCATGCTGTTCAAATACAGCAACCACACCATCTATCAGACAATGTGGAAGGTTATCCTTATCTGCCATTACCATAAATTGAATCCAAACAATTAACACCTCATCAGACTATTCTCAATTAACAAAGTGGCAAGTGTCATCAACAATGCTATTGATATAAATTATTCCAGAGTTCAGGTGAGACTGCCTGCATTTGGTATTATGACCAAAAACAAAGTTGCTGGAAAAACTCAGCAGGTCTAGCAGCACCTATGAAGGATAAAACAGTTAATGTTTCGGGTCCGGTGACCCTTCCTCAGAACAGAACCCGAAACGTGAACAACTTTTTTTCCCTTCACAGATGCTGCCAGACTGGCTGAGCTTTTTCAGCAATTTTGTTTTTGTTCCTGATTTACAGAATCCACAGTTCTTTCAGTTTTTATTTAGTATTCGACCAATTACCTAGAAACTGAACTATATCAGCCATATAAATGCTGTGGCTGCAATGGCAAGTCAAAGATTGGGAATTCTGAGGCTAGTAACTCACTAGCTAACTTGCTAATGAGTGTCTACTTTTTACAGGGCATCAGTCAAGCATGTGACCAAATATTTCCCACTTGCCAGGGTAAGTGCACCCTTAACACTCAATCAACACCATTCAGCCCAATTGATGAATACTCCATTTACCATATTAAACATTCACTATGGTGCACAGTGGCAAGAGTGTGCATCATCTGCTAGATATATTGCAGCAACTTTCCAAGTCTCTTTCAACATCCCTTTTTAAACCTTTGATTGAGAAGGACAAGGTCAACAGATGCATAGGGGCACCATCATCTGCAAACCTCACTCCAGCCTAACGTGAAACTATATTGTTCCCTTGTTGTATCTGGATAAAAATGTTGGAATTTTCTTCCGAGCAACAAGGTAGGTGTAGCTACATTACCTGGACTGCATTGCGTACAGAAGGCAACTCATCACCATTTTCAAGGACAATTAAAAATGGGCAGTAAATTCTGGCCTCGCCGGCAATACTGATATACTGTGAACAAATAATTTTCAAAATCCACAATAACTTTTCTGATCATTTTTATGTAAGATACAACAACTAACAAGTCCCAGATCAGTGATTTAAGACTCAAGACAGTGCAGTTTTCTTTCAGATTAAAAAGTTATGTATGTCATTTTAAAGAAATAAGAGGATCAAACCAGATAATTATGGCATTGAACCAAACATCACATGGGAAATTACCTGATTAATTTTCCATAAGTAAGGATGTATTGGGTCGGTCAGCTGAGTTGGATGGATGGCTAGTTTGCAATGCAGAATGACACCAATAACACAGGTTCAGTCCTGCACCAGCTGAAGTTAGCATAAACGATTCTTCCCCTTGGCCTCTTTTTTGCCCCCCCCCACTTGAGGTGTAGTGAACCTCAGTTTACCACCAATCATCTCTCTCTAATGAGTGAGCAGCCCTATGGTCTGGTAGAACAATGGTGACTATACTTAGTTAAGGATATGGTAACTGTACATTCTGAAAACTTTTAGATATCCAGAAAGCCAGTATGTATTATAAAGAACTGGTCATGCTTCATAAACATTCTGAACTTGGACAGGGGAATGTTTGTCTTGTTACTTACAGACTTACAGGCACGTGATAATTCTCAAATCCACTTTTCTGACTTCTCCTCGCCACCTTTGATTCCCTTACTATGTTACATGGTGTTAAGGCACAGTATGTGGACATGTTTCTGAAGACTTCACTACTTTAAATTCCATTTCTTAGTGTGTTTCCAGTTGAGAAGTAATAAGATTTTGGTATGCATTTTAACTTTAATTGTAAGATCTAACTCAATTACAATTATAGATGGCGTTTAAGAGAGCCAATCTAAAATTTACTGATCCTGTATAATTACAAGACCTATTCCAGGAACAAATGTGTTTTCACAAGTTTTACAGAATTTATTACATTTATTATAACGACTACAATGGAAATCATAGTTAATAAAAGCTGTGGGTTTCAGCCTATGTTGAAGCTCATTCATGTCAGGTTGACTGGGCACAGATCTCTTAATCTGTTCTCGTCAATGATGTTGCTCTTCTGTCTTTGCTCTTCCTTATTTTGTAACAAACTACTAAGAACCTTATTTATCTGGAACCCTTCCTAACCACTACCCTGTGTGCATGATCAAAGGCATCCTGAACTCTAAATGGCTTATTTGTGCATGACCAGTTCATGGTCAATCTTGAATTGGCTCGGTAGTCTACACCTAACTCTTGATTAATTTTAAAGAAAACAATGGTCATTTTAGTGACATCATTTCCTACTGTATCCTCATTTATTCTTTATCACGTCAATTATCTTATAATGTTATCCCTTAATGACAGCTTGTCTCTTAATTTACCAACTCTATAGCTCTTTACCAAAATAAAGACACACAAATTAGTAATTTATGTCTCTGCTTAGAGTATGTCATGTCACATCCTAGTGATTAACTGGCCTCCTAAATGTCCCATACATCTGATTGATCAATTTCCTTTAACTACAAGCACCACATGTGACTCCACATAACTGCTGATACCCAAAACAAATTAACACTCAAAACAACTATACAAACTAATACATGTAGGCCTATCACAAACTTTGTTACAATTTTAAAGCATTTTTATCTCAAAATATTTTCATGTATTACCCGAAGTTTATATTAGACTGAGCTATGAAACAGCAAACAGACCATCAATATTTATTTTGATATAGCTGTATAATTTCTTACCTACAGAAACTACTTAACAACTAACTGCAATTAAAAATAATAAAATTCCTCACTTGCTTAAATAATACCAAAATAATTATTGAAAATGAGTAGTCAATGGTAAATGCAGCTCAGTATCTCAGGATGGTGAGCAGTAATGCTCTAAGATTGTGTACATAGTTCTTCATGTTGAAAGTTCCAAACCGAGTTGAGCCTTCAGAAAAGATGTGGATAAGGCAGGGTTTGGAAAATTTCAATTTGTAATTGACATATTAGAATACTACACATTCTCAGTTGCTTTTTAACTGTGTGATAGAAAAGAATAATTAATGAATAAAAAGAAACTCTTGATACTGAAAAACATGAGCCAATTAAACAACCTCGTATAAAAAGCTATTATCCAATTTCAGCAGTAAAAGGGAAGGCAAATGGAACTTGGGCCTTTATTTCAAAGGGAATGGAGTATAAAAAGTGAAGGTCTTGCTAAAACTAATCAAGGTCCTAGTCAGACTATAGCAGGAATATTGTTAACAGTTTTGGTCATACTGACATTGGAGGCAGTCCAAAGAAAGTTTATTCAGTTGAATCCAGGTATGGAGGGATTTTGTTATGAGCAGAGATTGAGTAGGTTGGGCTCGTACTCAGAGTTTAGAAGAATGAAAGGAGACCTTATTGAAACATACAAGAGTTGTATGAAGCTGTTCCTTAATTAGAGTGGTTTTCCTTCAATTTGCATTCGCTGAAATAATGTTAGCATGATTTACTGTCAGCAATAAACTGCAGCAAGGCTACAGAGATTATGTACACAGCAGCATTACAAGTATCGGTGGGTTATGTTACAACACTTCTTCATAATACTCTTTATCTCATTTTCCACTAAATTTGGATTTATGGAAGTGTTATAATTAATCTGAATTGAAATCTGATGTGCTCAAAATAGCTTGTGGGCGCAGAACGAACATAGTAGCAGGAGTAAGCCATTCAACACCTTGAGTCTTTCTGCTATTCAGTGAGATCATGGCTGATCTGTGGCCTAACTCCATATGCATGCTTTTGTCCTATATCCCTCAATACCTTTGCGTAACAAATGGGGAGGCGATGGCCTAGTGATATTATCGCTGGACTCTTAATCCAGAGACACAGATAACGTTCTGGGGCTGGGGAAATCGAATCCCGCCACGGCAGATAATGGAATTTGAATTCAATAAATATCTGGAATTAAGAATCTAATGATGACCGTGAAGATTGTCCTAAAAACCCATCTGGTTCACTAATGTCCTTTAGGGAAGGAAACTGCCAGCCTTACCTGGCCTACACGTGACTCCAGACCTGCAGAAATGTGGTTGACTCTTAACTGCCCTCTGGGTATTTACGGTGGACAATAAATGCTGCCCAGCCAGTGATGCCCTCATCCCATAAATGAATTAAAAAAAAGAAAAATTTATCTACCTCGGATTTAAAATTAACAACTGGTATAGCATCAACTATTGTCTGTGGAAGAAAGTTGCAAACATCTAACACTCTTTGTGTGTAGAAATGCTTCCTAACATCTCTTCTGAA